GAGCTGAGATGCCACATCTGACTGTGCAAGCTAAAAATGACTCCGCTCGTGCCCGATAGTGCTCCCTGCACATCTCCTGACTTCGTGGCCGCAGACTAAACAAGACTGTTGATGCCAGAAGATCCAATAGTGAAACAGTGGGTTTGGCTTGCTGTGACACAGAGCCAACTCTGCTGTCAACAAATACTAAGTCAGACTTGGAAAGCTTACAGGAAGTTTTCATGGCAGCATATGCCAGTAGAAGGAGAAACAACTGCCCACCTCTGAGCTGCAGGAATCTGAGAACCAAGAGGGTTGGAGAAAGCTACAACAGGTCATGGTAAAAATACACCTCACAAAAACTTAATGTTTGTACTACCTCACCTGTTGGGGTGAAATTTGCACCATTAATTCCTTGGGAGTAGAAGAAAAATCCTGGTTTTTGTTTTGGGGCTTTCTTTTTATAAACATAAGCAAAGTGGGGACTCAGCCTCTCAGTGTGTATGTATGCTAAGTGCCATTTTTCAGCCTCAGCATTCTGATTTTACATATGGACACACAGGGGGTAAAGCATGAAAGTAAGAAAAAATCATCAGCCATATACCTGAAACAAAGTCCTTTTAGCTCTATATTTCAGCCAAAATAGTAGAACAGCCTGAATCCATTGGTTTTTTTTTCCTCACTCATCAAAACCAAGGCTTTATTGGTCCCTTTCCAAATTGCTGAATTTTGATGTTAGAGGAAAGTCAGATCTGGGCAATATCCTACCTCCTTCCTTACAAGGTAGCCCATCTGAAATGGGCTTGAGCACAGACAAGGCCTGCAGTTATCCTCTCTTCCTACTGCCAAGGAAAATCAGCTTTAAACATCAGGTCAGTGTCTGAACCCAAGTTTATTCTCAATTTTGGCCCTTCTGTATATCAGTAGATATATATATATATACACATATATGTATAAAACTTAAAATGGCAGAAGCTGGCAACTTGCATTTGAAATATGCTCAGAGTCCTAACACACCCATAACTATCACTGACAAACACCCCAATAACTCCTCAAAGTAGTGGTACTACATTGTGTAAAACCAAGTGGCTATTTATACAGCTACTGTTACAGTATCAAGGGCTTTCAACAGAAAAAAAAATAGGGGGAAAAATTAACTAGGACCATTTGTTTTCTGAAGAACTGAAGAGTGCTTCAGAAACAGGACCTACACCTCTGGTGAAATTAAAAGCACTCAGCAATACAATTTCGGAGTGGCAGGAAAAAGCTAACATGTTGCACAGAGCATGAGAAGTGAAATAAACCAATTATTTCTATTTTTACAAAGTAAGTGTCACAGAACTGCTCATTGTTGTGAAAAACACACATCACTGAAACAGAAATTGATTCAGTGCTGGGGAAACAAAACATTTGACACCAATGAGTCAAGATACATATACATGGTGTTCAATACAGCCTTTTCTACTGCTTTTCTATTACTTCCTTCTGTTTATTTTCCTGACCATATAAGATTGGCTCTGAAGTGCTTCTAGTTTCCTTCTGCTCTCTCACATCACACAGAGCTCCCATGGCACAGCAAAACCTTTTGGAGGACACTTACCAGCATGAAAGAAGAGAAGATAGAAAATATTTCTTGAGCTCTTCATGGTGAAAGGTTTAGGATCTGTGATTCTTTCAGCCTTCAGAACTCCCAGAGATCAAGGCTCCTGCAAGAGTGCTCTCTCCAGCCTGGTCTCAGGTGAAAATCAGCTGCATTCAATTGCCAATGCACTCTGTTCAACAATAAGCCCTGCTCACCTCGACACACGTCACCTCGTACATGACTACAGGAAAAGAAAGCATGCCTGTCCTCACACTGCCTGTACACTTGGAAAAAAACATCAGACCTGGAAATTGCAACGTATCTGAGGCACCAATGAGGTCGCTACTGCCTTGGCACCACCCACAGACTTCATTCAATGAACTGCTACACACCGGCACACAGTGGTGGGGCAGGGCTGTGGAACCCATCCTCACTGAGATCTGTGCATTCCCTGGCCCTGGGGCTCAGGAAGCAGGAGGAGATTCAAGGTAAGCAGTTTATCTGGCAGAGTAGACAGTCACTTGATGCCACATTCTCAGCATTGCCACAAATTGCTTAAAGTCATCATCAGAAGCCCAGGCTCTAACAGCAGCAAAGCCTGTGCACTCTACAGGTGGTACAGCACATGCTAAGTGCACATTTCCTGAAATTTAATAGCAATTGCTATAAAACAGCTGAATCATTCTGACTTATTTTAAGGTTTAAGAGAAGGCCCAGGAAGGAATCTCTGCCAGAAAGAATCAAAACTGCTGACAGTAGCTCTGTTAAAAGCTGCTGTGAATTTCAGTGAAACTTTCACAGAGCAACCCTCATTTGTGCTGCCCAACTATTAATTTCTTATTAGTCAATGAACTGCAGCTGCCTGTAACGCTTTGTTTAGGTAAAAGCTGCTCAGAAATAGAAGGGCTATGTGGTGTGAGTCCTCACTCCCAGGGAGGGCATGAGCCACACAGCTCTGTGCATCCCCCACCAGCCTGTACGGCCAGGAGTGTGGCAGGATGCCTCCAGCACTCATCAGCTACCTGACTGCAGGTGGGCACGATGCTAGCTCTAACTCTGACTAGCACCTGTAAGACAACAGCTGAGTCAATTGCTATTTCAAGTTTAGAATTTCAAAATATAGAGATTGATCCCTCCAGACTTTCTTCCCAAACAAAACCTTATGGCTGAACTCTGATTCTTGGCTCGCTAGACCAAGAATTGTCCCTTTGTTGTCTTAAATGTTAAAGAATAACTTGGTGCCACTGAAGTATTTCCAAATGTTTTCAAGGACCCATTGCTCAGATCCTTCCTGTGCCCTTCCTACTGGCCAAATTAACATCAGGGAGAGATGTTTGCATCCTGATGTTTGCAGAAGGGTTTACAGTCATTTACAGATGACAAGACAGTCCTAGTACCAGTTGCTTAAGACTCCAAGGGTAGGATTAGTAAGACACAAATCTGGTACCAGGGCTCTCCTATGGGAGAACCATTCCCTCTATGGGAATGGTTCAGAAGGCAGAGGAGCAGCCTTTTTGCAGAGGAGGTCTATTCCAAACACAGCCCCCTCTAAACAATTACACAAGCACAGTTCATCAGAATTTAGATAATTTTCCTATTTCATTCTTAACTCTGAGTATCTGTGCTTTAAGGAGATATTAAATTTCTTAACCTAGTTTTCAGCACAATTCAGTAAAAATGCCAGCAAGGAAATAATATAACTTACAATAACAATAGAGGGTAACAAACACTTCATCAAGCATGTGTCTGTATAGCAATTACAAATAGTTGGGTTATCAGGCAAGAAGAAAACCCCCAATGCCTTCACTGGGCCAGCAAAAGAGTGGTAATACATCAGTGTGGTGCCATTTGGATTTCCTAATTACTCTAGTTGTTAAATTAGAAGCCTTTAGCAAAATACATGTATTGTAAAATGTAACTCTAAGATACAGAAAAGCGTACCCGAGAATCAAAAGATGTATCAGCACCTGATGCTGGAAAAATGAGACCCAGAGAAACACTAAGTAATGCAAACCCTGACAATTACAAAAGATAAAATAACAAGGAGCATCAGGGCTCTCAGAATCAACTTTTCTGCCAGTGTTCAAAGGTAACATTGGAAACAAACAAAACTAAAAATGCAAAGCAAATACTCCAGAGTCCTTTGGTATTTCTTGATCCAAGACTTGTTTTCACTCCCTCATGACAACTGTGCAAGGTAACTGCTGTGGACTTCAGTCAGAGTGGAGTGTTTGGTGACACCTGGCTACTACAGGACAAGTGCCTGGGGACAAAGTTCAGTGGCAGCTACTCAGACACTCCAACATATGAAAGAGCAATTCCTCACAGACCAGGATCTTTCTGATGGATTAAAAAAAAAAGAGGTAAAAAGAAGTGCATACAATACAGAGATTGCAGATGTGTTTGCAGATTTGATAGAGATTCATATCCTTCTGGGGTTTTTTTAAGATTTACTCTTTTAAGATGTCACACAAAGACACCTCAAACAATCAGTCACTTTCAAAGAGGGAGACAACAGTACACCTCTAGCTGCCTTAAAAATTTATGACATTATTTATCAGAAGCTGCATCAATCCAGTACACCAAGCACTTCCATGGGCAGGAATTCTCAGAAAGGCAGCACAACTGATTTCCCAGATCTTCAAAACCAGAAACTCTTCTGGGGCATGCACCAGCAGCTTTAACTTCCTGCAAGCTGCACTAGCATCCCACATAACATCAGCAATAATTGTGTCACAAGTTTGAACCTGCTTTTAATGCAGTAACTTCAGTAGCCCCAGTGTGGCCACCAGTGTTTTTCTAAGACCTGATTTTCATTTACAGTCTCAGTCAATTATTCTAAAGTGCTACAACACCTGTATTTATCATAATTAAAAACACACTTGACAAATATATTGTACAATAAAGTTTATTAGCTGTTCTCCTCTTTCTAACAAATGGAATGGATAGTGTTGATAATTCTTTACAAACCAAAGCTGATTTGGTTGTGAGACTGCCCCATGACTGCCATAAGTACATCCCTCTAAGAAACAATCAGTTGCAAACAAGCAATGGCAGGTACCAAATAATAAGGGAATTTGAGAATTTCATTATTGAAGGTTTTGGTACAACGTATTCATAACATTCAGCACAGAAGTTTGTGCATTGCAAACGGAAGATCTTGTGCCTGTGCAATCCGAGACGAACACGTACAGAAAAAAAATATATTGTTGACTCTGAATTCTCCCTTTGGTTAAGACATGCATATTACAAAGGGGAATGGGGAAGACAAACACCCGGAATTGCGTAGAAAAGAGGAGAACTTGCATGTATTTTTTTCTTGTACTAATATTCCCTGGACTTCATGCCCAGCCATCACAGCCCATTTGATTTTTCCGTGATTAAGGAAGGTAAATTCTAATTTGGTTTTTTATTTTTATTCAAAACAAAAAGCTAGGAGTAGGTGGTAAAAGAAAAATATATATTTTATATATATATATTTATACGTGTGCGCAACTATGTAAAGAAAATAATTCCCATAGTTACAGAGTTTAGTTAAAGAAAGTTTAATATATATATATTTATTATAACAAAATAGGCAGTTATTGTGGGTAAAATATTCATTAAAATCTGACCCCTAAGAACACACACATTTTTAGGCTATGAATCATTCTCTCATTGCCCTAATGACCATCTCTGCAGCTGTTTTCTGAATTACTGCCAATGCAAATTTGGCATTCCTCTGAAAAATACATGGTTTCCTAGCACCTAAACATATTTTTAGGCTCAAAAAGTGTGATGACCATTATCTATAAAGAATTTCTGTAACACACTATAAATAGTGTTTCATGAGGAAGATTAAAAACATTACATATCTTTGTCCCTAGCAATTTTATTGGCAAAAAATGAAAAAATAGATTATAAGAATATCCGTATGAAATTATGAAAATGAATATCCCTTTAGGAGTAGTAATGGGACTTAATGAAAATGCTAACTCAAAATTTAACAGTTTCTTTCTAACTGCCTGGAAAGAAAAAAGATACTGTGACAATAGGATTGAACTCAGAAAATAAAACCTGAAATTGATTGCCCTGACCAAACCATGCTATTAAAGTTAAGCGTGCAAAGTTACTCATAATTTACAACTTCCTTGAATACAACTTTTCTTTCAATTGTTATGAAATTTTAAAAGAATGTCTATAAAGCTTTTTTGAAAAATCTTTGAAAGTTACTTTCCCTTAAACATTAAGGAATTTTACCCAGCAATTCCCTCCCACCCCCACCCTAAACTAATAGCTGGTCAGGCCATTCCACTGTCATGTTCGAAAAATGGCAAACCAACAACACACAATAATACAAATTATTCAAACTAAGAGAGACACCAAATGTAAAGCATTATGGGAACTGCAGAATGTGATGGTTAGGGTATGAACCACGCTGGAAAGAACTAGAGGCAGGCTCCACTGGAAGGGCTTAAGAGTCGTCAGATGTAGTAGGTGATGTCAGTTAGAAAATGAAAAATAAAAATCTGTTTTCATAATTTTTCCTTTGCTGGAACCCAGATGTAAGGACCAGACTGTTCCTCTATGATCTGTTTCACTTGGTTGTAGATTTCCTCCAGAGTGTCTCCCTGGACAATAGCTGCAAAACATAATGTGGCAATCAGTAATTGTCCCTCCTCGTTCTGCGCAGAAGCCAGGCTGCTCACGCCAGGCTGCTCCTTGCCCTCAGTGGCAGGAGGATTTCTGACTGCTGAAGGAACAGACACCCTGGACACTCCTGCTTTCAGTGCTGGACTGAAGCACAGAGTGCTACTGCAGGACACCAAAGCACTTCCTTGGGGACAGGGGACTTCCTACCAAGTATATACATACAACTGAGGGGTTTTTTAACCTTTTCCTAGCCACATGTTCCAATTTGCCTGAGTCAATTCACATCCTCCTTGGAGTATTCCTTCTTGGCCCAACTTTCATTTGTGTTTCTAACACAAAGCAAGACAGTGCAGGACTGTGTCCTCACAGGCTGGCGAACTCCTCAGCTCTACCCTGAAGCTGCACAGCAAGGCAGGCTGACCTCGAGATGTCTACCTAGCTCCACCTTTGCTTTTGGCTAAAAAAAGGAGGAACTCCTGGAGTTTGTTGTCCAGACAAGAGATTCCAGTTTTATAGACGAGAGGCTTCCTTATACAGTTAAAAGTGCAATCTATACTAATTCCTGTCATGTTGGTTGATGTGTTTTTGCCAAGGCTAGAAATTAACTAGAAATGAGCCAATATGGATGTGTTCTGACATATCAGAATAAAATATGGTCTGGTGAAAATGTTTGAGCTGTTCTTACCAACACTTCAGCCTGGAAGAGCAATTACTGTGAGATAGCAACTTATTTTTAATTAGTGTCACAATCTCAGTGTCAATAACCCAAGAAGTAAAGTTTAGCATGAAAGCCAGTTTTGGAGGCAGGTCAGACTCACTCTTCTGTGCATTAACAGACTAGTGCTGCTTCTGAGCTTTGCTTTCGTGCAAATTAGTTCCCTTTTATTCCTACCATTCCACTCTTATCTCTTAAAAACCTTCTCCCCATCTGCAGCTCAATGCTGTACTGCCTGTGGGAGGAGGCTGCTCCATTGTTATAGGCCAAGTATAATGTTCACAGCACAACAGTGCATGAGAAAGAGTTAGAAATGTCTTTGCAAGGCAAACAGGCCATAAGCTTCAGCATCTTCTCTCCAGCTAAGTTCAACCACACCTCTTCCAAATCTCAGTAACCTCAAAGCTGAAGAAGGATGTGCTTTTCATGTGCTTCAGTGTAACTCTGTGGAAACAGAACCTGCTGATGAAGTTGGAAAATGGCAGAAAGTCTTAAGAGTTTTTTAAACCTAAATTAATCTCCCAGTAAATTTTTGTTTATTTTTTAATATTAAATTAACTGATCAAAGTGAAATCAATGTAGAGATACTAAGATGGCTCCATTCCTCAAAGTAATCACAGATCATCTGAAAAACAAAGCTCACTATCTTAGTGGGTTAGGCAAGTACTATTTTCACAGCAAGCAATAAAATTTCAACTCTGGCAAGCGAGCAGTCACAAGCAAAACACACCTGTGAAGTGTTCAGTAAATTCTTGCTCCAGTTTCGTGGCTCTCTCAAATGTCTTCCTGGCTTGCTCTTCTGTTAAACGTTTATTCATTTCCCTGAAAGTGCAAATATTATACCTTTTTTAAACCAATATCAAATCCTTAGAGTCTTTAAGGTTTTAAACTGTTGTTTGAATATTAATCCTAATAAAAGGATTAAGCCCTAAAGACTCCAAGCAAAGACTGTAGTGGAAATGAGCTGTTCTAGCATTATGTTGCATGGAATTTAACACAATGACATTTGTTTTGGATTAAAGCCCCATCTTAAAGTCCCTAAAAATTAAACTCAGGGAATTAAATATTATTTAAAACACAAACATTACAATTGTCTGCATATAACTTGCAGTCGGCTTTCCAAATACAACAGTGTCAATTTAGCTTGAAGTACTTGGTTTTTACTCACATGATATTTTCCACTGTTTTGGGTTTAATAAAAATGGAGATTGGGTACAGCTGGGCAATCTGCAACCTTTTGATCGCATTACCAGAAACATCAAGAATGCAATGTTTACCCTATAAAGTGAGAGAGAAAGGAAAATGGTACCAAGTAAAGTTTAAGTCACAAGTAGCATAGCATAATAATTTAGAACACAAAACACGTCTCCACTGAAACCAAGAAAATTAGAGTATTTGCATCAATGACACTGTGATTTCCCCACTTAGGCACAAGGTCCCCCAATCTCCTCTGCTGGATCACACATCAATTGGGATGCTCCTGACCCTTCTTTCTTCATTCCTTTCTTCATCACAGCTTGCAGCCCTATCAGCAATGCAGAACCATACAGTGGAACAGCTGGACTTCAACAACACCACCAAAAGTTTTTATTTTGCTTTGTTTTGGTACTAATTTGAGGATGCTTTAGGGAGGTGGCCATGTCACAGATGTGGTTTAGAGAGGAGCCAGATGACTTAACTGGCATACCTGAGGGAGTGCCCACCCCTGCTGGCAGGGAGAGATGCCACCATATTCAGATGGATCTGCACACAAGCCCTCTCCTCCCCCCAGGTGCCAGCCAGTAAAAATACCACATGCAATTTATTTGTGTGATTTATCATTCATCTCTTGAGAAACAAATATAACTTGACCACTCCTTGGGCAGCTGGAAGACAGTGTGATAAGGCTGCTTTCCTCCCCCTCTCTATTCTCCCACTAAAAAGAATTTTCCAGCTTCATCTCAAAGGCTCCTCCTGTTCTCAGCTCCTTTCATCTAAGATATGCTTATTTCCACCTCACACATTTTCATTTCTTTCCTTTCTGAGTAGCATAGGATTAATTTGCCTTCTGTCATTTTAGAAAGGTGCAGGGGAAGAGAAACAGAAAACCAGTCTTGGGTAACTACATTAAGAAAAGCTTTTTCTTGAGCAGGACATCAATGTGCATTGCAAAAATCTGTGAGCCAGGACACAAACCCACAAGTACCATATAACCAAAGGTTACTCGTATCATACAACACCATTCCTGAACTCCTGGGAGATCATTCCTGGAAGAATGTCTGAAATTACTGGCATGCTTCTGCTTCCTGGCAGAAGAAACAACTAGGATCATTTACATTTGGTCTCTTTCCCAACAAAATCAGAATTTTACTTCTGGAATTTTTAAGGAAAAGTGTTCTTCCCACACGAACAATATATATATCTGTTTGCTTTCAGCTGATGGTAGCTGTTTCCCAGATCCAGTCCATGGGTCTGGATGCCAACTGGTAACATTTAAAAAAGGTGTCTTTATGTCCTAGCAGAGTATTTTACATGCGCTGATCTGTCCACATCTTTAAATGTGGCACATGCTCCGAGAACTGAGAATTAAGAGCATTATTTGAAAAAGGACCAAGTAAAACAATATTTGCTGTGTTTGGCCCAACAGCTTAAGCCAGAAGCCAAAGGGTGGAGTGCTAGACAGCCAGCACAGTACCTGTGCTGGACCTTATGGGATATAACCATGACAGTTTATTCCAAATCAACAATGAATGTGCATTAACTGTGGCCTCGAGACATGGAGATTCACAAACTGCAGATGATTCCAAAGGAAAGAGGATATGAAAATTCTTTTCAAGTGAAGCTTTGAAAGACAAGGAAAAGAAACACAAATACATTGTGATACAAGCATGTTTTCATCCAGGGAAGCCACTTTGCTCTTTGCACAGTGAATTTAGAATTATATTTTATATATTTTAGTTCCTTACTTGCACTGCATCTGATTGAGAAGCACCACACAGCAGCCAGTGCCTTCTATAACTGAACAACAACATCAGAAAGCATCCATTGTGGGTAAGGAAGTAAGAGAGACAGGGATCAGCTGGAAGCATGGGCAAATGAACACAAAGACTATTTTAAGAATACTGTTTCTGGTTCTTTTGGGATAATAGCAGTCCCTTCTGTTCTGTCTTCTCCTAAACTGATTGTAGAAAACTTGGAAATCATCAGCAATAAAACCCACTGAAAAGACTTATCTTTTCAGCAAGATGGAAAAGAATACAAGGATGGAAGTAGTTCCAGATCAACCAGTTTGCAGCCCTGTCATGATTTTGAAGTACAGTTCTGAAGGATAAGCCATTGTTTCCCAGAAAAATAATGTCAGCTGCAACTAAGAAATTGCCGCATCTACCCAAAGTCCCATGGTGCCTGTGCAAGAGATTTAACTGCACAGAGACATCTGCTAATACTTTGTTCTTTGTGTCCATTTATGAAAGACTCATAGCAATTTTGTACCTTACTAATCCCAACAGATGGACAAAAGAACAAAGCCAATTTCAGGTCCAGGATGGAACTGAAGGATTGTATTTGTGCTATCAAGTAAAGCAACTGCCAACAGATTTATAATGTTTAAGCTGTTCAATAATTTCATCATTTAACCACATATGACAGTTTCACAGCTTTGTTCAGCCTCCCATACAAAATACTGTTCATTTACTTGAACAATTCTGTAATTAATATTCTTTTCTTTCCTTTTCTCACTCTATCCCATAGGGCCAGGTTCCATTCCATGTAGTGACAAAGACAGGAGAAGAAAACATCATTTACCCCACAGAATCTCACTCTGTTTGCCCTGATTTTGCTTCCAGTAAATTCAGTTGCAATAAATAGCAAAGCTCGCCCATTGGCCAAAATGGTCTTGAGTTTTCCAGGGACTAAGCTACAGCCCTGTGGCACATGGGTTACTACCCACACCTGCCCTCTGCATGTTGAGACTGACAGAGCCCCCACTTGTGAGTTCCCACCTAGAAAATAGCTGGCCCTTCTCTCACAGAGATCAGAGAACATTGGCTACTGTAAATGCACTGGATTTGTCAGCAGCAGAACAACACCCATCAACTCAACATGAAACATTTGCAAAAAACTTTCACCACATGATTTTCTTTAAGACAAGCACCTTAGTCTCAGAATTACCCTTCCCTTTTCCCGCTTTTTCTCCCCACACAAATCAAGTCCACTTCAGTAAGACTTTAGAAATAATTACAATTTGCAAGAAATAGTTAATTTAAATCACTTTGGGATAGAAACAGTAAGGTCAATCTTCAAAATATATGGGTAGGTGTGGAAAAAATACTTTTAAAATTGAATTCTTTACATTTACTCTCTTCCCTTTGTTAGCTAAAACCATGAGAAGCACAAAGAATAACATTTTTGCACGTTTTCTTTTGCACAGGTCTACGTCAAATGGATCCTCATATTAATTAACTCCACCAGCACTACTCTTCATTAGTTAATGATCTGTGTCAGCTAGGCTAATTAGTCTATAATTCCAATTATTTCTTCTATATCCTCTTTAAATGAGAGGGCACATTATGGCTGCTCTTTTTCCACAATTTAATCATGATGCTTTCATTATTACAAAGCTTCTTTCCCTAAATGCATCTGTGAAAATACACTTTGTTTCTAGTCTTATACAAATTCCTTTAAAAGTCAGAATGTTCCTAATGGCTTCTTGCCATTCTTCTCTTTTTCCCTGTCAGCACAGGCATACAATCAGCTCAGCAAATGAAAGTAAGTGGTACTGATTTACCTTTTCTGCTACTTCTCGCACTGACTGGACACTTGTTCCATAAAGATGATTATTGTACTGGCCAGCTTCAATGAATTTGTGATCCTGAATATCCTTCTCCATTTGCTCTCGAGAAGTGACAAAATGGTAATCACGTCCATCCACCTCATAATCTCGTTTTGGTCTAGTTGTATCTTTAAATATAAACCAGTAGTTTTTAAAGCAAAACAAAAAACAGTAACTTTTTCCCTTACAATATCCAAAAAGCCTCCAATTTATACTGCAAAATTGTCACTAAGAGATTGATATTAAGATAGGTCTATAAAGTTTAAACAATATATTAACTTTTTGTTTAACCTAACATACAGAGGACGTCTATAAAAAAATTAAGAGAAAAATATAACCTAAAATTGCTTTAGTATTTGCTGAGACTTACGTGGAACACATGAGCCAAATTTGTCTGGAAATTCTGAGATCAGGTCATCATTTATTCTGTCTTTCATGGGTCCCAAAACAATCACAGGTCGAGTGTAACTGACTAATAAACATAAAGGAATAATGTCAGTTGTATTTCATATGACTGTTAACTTTTAAGAGTTCATAAAAATAAGCTGTCTCGCATAGCAATGACTTTAATACTTAAGAGAATATGTACTTCTAAAGAGAATAAAAACACACTGAAGAACATCAATCAGTCAACACCATAGTCATAGTAAGATGTTAAACTTTCACTCTCAAATCACCATTATCAGTGATTCAAATTGAGTCTTAAATTATGAAGCCTTTGGGGAAAAAAAACCTTCTGACAAACTAACATCCTAAATTCCAATGGAAAAATGATAGAGGGGAGGTTTGAAAATCCTTTCAGTTCAAAGACGCACCTAAGCAGCAGCACAATTCATAAAATTCTGTGTTGGGAGAAGCTTCTCCTCTAAGACCACAATTAAGCACTCATATACAAAATGACTCAAATATAAATAGTTTCTAACTATTAACACCCTTACAAAATTAAGCGTAGTACCTTTTGAAAGTGATTTAATTATTTATAATAAAGAGATTTGGTTGAAAACTAAGTTTAAGCAGATTATGTTTAATCACACTGTAAGAACCTTTAAGACAATAATGCCTAAGTATCTTGCCAGGATCATGTAATTTCAGTAGTACAAATTTTAATTTTAGGTTCAATCTGTCACACAAATAAGTACCAATTAATTAAAGTCTGGCTTATTAAATATATTTTAATTTGACTCAGAGCTATTTCCTTTCCATTCTATTACTATATTTTTAAGAGGAATGTCTTGAATCCAGTATCTATTAACTTACTAATTAACAAACATCTTTGCTGTTTCTCCCTTTGTGAGCCCCTCTGGTGAGGGGAAACCATTCCACTGGAAATCAGTAAAAAGGAATTTTTTAAATGCAAGTGTGATAAAATATTTTCTCCTAGTGATTTCCATTTCATTACATTTTACTTTTTTTCTGGAAAAAAATCCCTTGGAAATTATTAACCAAATTAGGCATTTAAGAAAACCATACAGAAATGGGAGACTGATTAGAGACATTTCAGTTGAAGCTGTTAAATAGACAAATGATCTATTCACACGCTTTTTGCTGTGACAGAAACAGTGAGAATGCTAAAGCAATGTGAAACAGAAGAAAACCATAATTTATGAGGGTTCTCACTGACAAAACTGTTAAGCATACTGTATTTTCCTTCCACAATATAAACCACACAAATTATTGAAGTAGCACACCTTTGGACTCTGCACTAAATAATTCAGAGATTTTATTTAATAATTTATGCCTTTATGATTTATTCATTTGAATAACAGTAAGTTTCAACTTTAAAAGGGTGAAAAAGTTTATCCTGGTGCTTAGTACATAAGGGCATGCAAAGCATTCTAACAATTCAGGTTATTTCACAATGAGTGAGATCTACCAACCTTCTTGTTGATTGACTGGTTCATATGACAACACATATTCCTCCTGGCCACCTAAAATGTAAAGGCAAAGACACATCAATGTATTTTTTTTCCTAAAGGAACATATTTCATGGGAGTCATTCCATGGACTATGATGATACAGACACTGCTCAGCAATATGCATTACAATGGTACTGATGAGGGACACCTTTCCAGAGTGATGAATTACAAACCTCACAAAGCTAAGCCAAACACCGAGCTGTAAAGCATAAGACACATACAGCAGCAATAAGTTCCTGGTGTACGCTGGCATGTCAAGCTGACACAGAGCACAAGAAGAATTTTCAAGCATTGCTGAGGTGCTGCTCCCCACGAGTCCTGGATGCAGTGCATGCATGCTGTCATTCACTGCTAGAGCAATGCCACCTGCAGCAGGAACGCTCTCCACTCTCTGAAGGCAGATTTACAAGAACACTGTTCCATATTTATACATGGCTGGCAACCATGTATGTCAAGGTGTACAGATTAACTTTATCCTGAAATGGCATTTCCATAAACATCTTCAGCTACTTTAATTCTACCAAAAAAGCTATGAATGTATACACTAAACAAACTACTATTTTATAAATTAATTTTTAAAGGTGAAGTTGAATGCTTTGGATTATTCTCAGCTCCAGGAAGCACATTAGCAGTGAATGAAATTAAAATAGCTGAATCTTGAATTTTGACAGCTGCAGGCTTTTTAAATGTTAGTGAAAGCATTTGAAATATACCTCAGTTGCCATCTCTCTAAAAGATTACTTCTAGTCTAACATCATATCTCTGAGTAAAATTTGTTACAATGAAATCACTAAAAATTAACTGTGACAGCAGAAAATTTGTAATTCTGAAGACACAAGCTCAAATTACATGACATTGCTTTAAACTGAAGAAAATACAGTCCTCCAATATTTCACTTGTCTAATTTTGGAACATTCTTTGATGTTCATAAGCCGTACTTAAAAAAGGCAAAGGAACACACCAAGGCTACACCACAGTTTATGTAAAAACAGAAGGCAGATGAAGGCTTTTATAAATGCATACAGAGCTTCTATATATCTATTCTCTATTTCAAAGAAAATGCAAAAGGATATTTTAAATCTACATTATACCATTTCATTAACAGAAATATTTCTCTCATTTTGCAATAAATTTGCATTCAAACTGTCCTACAGCAATACATGAAGGAAGACTTTAATTTCCTAAGTTGTTGCAAGTGAGGAATACCTTAAGACAGACACAAAACCATGCAACCTGTACATTTTAATGTCTCAAAAAGTTACTCATGCAAATGGATTTTAGAAGGACAGTATATACTTTCAGAACCCTTTTTAGGCTCGGGAGAGGAATAGGGAATCACCAACTATCAACTTATCTATAAAAGATTCAGCTCACATAGAATTAGATACTTCTTTGGAGAAGTCACATTGCTATAAGGTCAAAGAATAGTTATGCAAACTACTAAAAAGATAAGAACAAGTAAAAAGCATCCCCTGATTGAGGGCAAAAAGTATATATTGTCACTGCTTTTCAATACTTTGGAAAAATTAGTATTAATAGAATGAACCTTTTGAACAACCGTACTCATCTGTAATCAAGATAACTTTCATATTAGACAGCAGTAAGAAGAAATTAAAAGAATATTTTAATAAAAAGTGCTCAGAATTACACATGGAGATAAACAAATCCATGACATTCATAATAAAATCATGGCTTCTCAAGTAACAATAAAGGAAAAAACTAACTAGTAGTACCAATAAGGAGCTTTAAATGTAAATAAAGCCAGCTCTCAGAAAAACCTTGGAAGTGAGGGAAGAGAGGGAAGCAGCAAAATTTCTGAAGAAACAGACATGGTTAGATGGTTTTAATGCCGTGTCATTAAAAACTATAAAAATTTCTGTTTATCAAAGTCAACTTCCATATGTGCTCATTTCTGTGTTATTCTCAGGGAACACAGATGCCTCCCTCAATTAGTTTCTTTTCAATTACAGTCTGCAACACCACCAGCATTTTGCATACATGTATATACATTCTCTCCTTCAGTGTCATCATCTGGAAGAAAATATGTGGCTCATTACCTCTGAAAAAATCGACAGCCAAACAAATATATCTGTTAATGAACCACTTTCCTTATGATCCTGACATAAATTAGGTATTTCTGCAGTGCCCATTACACAGCAGGCAGCAGGAGCTGAGCACTGAACCATTGCATCACTTTCACTGTTGCTTCTTTTCATGTTTCTCTTCAAATCCTCCACTTTCTTATTGTCCTGTTCTACTCTACCATGGCTTCCAGGTCTAGACTGCAACCTTACTGGGGAGCTGTTCACTGGGAATGAATAGTGGGATTCCAGTCCTTGCTGTGGTTTGAGACATGTCCAGGCACAGCAGAGCAGCACCATGCAGCCTATTACCCACCACGAGCATGGAGTGCTACTGCACTGGGGTAATAGTAACCACTACTGGAGCTGATGCTAGTGGTAAAAGCAAACTGAGTGTGGTGTTTAGAAGACACTCCAGAAAGAGAGAAAACTAGCATGCTGATCCACCAAAACTGACTCCAGCACTGAATGTGTGTCGTATGCTTTGAAGACAGTTCATACTAAGCACCCACACTTGACGAAATAAATGAGCTGAAAGCAAGGGTAAATACATGTTTGCTTATCTGTACTTTCATTGAAGTATATACATATTAAATCTGAGTACCAGTTGTGAAAAACTTTTAGATACTTACGGCATTATTTAACAGATTACACAGTTTGGTTACACTTCCAGTATTAAGGCTCAGCTACATATAATTATATTTGTCAGCATTAAATTTACATTTAAATGTAACAGGTCTAGCTAGCTTGTGTAATTTTTTAAAAAAAATTTTGTAGATTCAAATTAAGCTGAACTAAGAAAATCACAGACAACAACACAAAAATATCCATAAAGGAGGTTTGCAGTGATTCTAGGGAGTTTTTTAAAAACAAAGACATGGAACAATTTGCAGTGCTCCACCAAATACACAAATACATATTTCACCTGAAGCTGACTGGGAAGTTCTATTTAACATGTAAATACCCAGAAAAGACAGACAAACAAAACCAAAGAAAGAGCTGCAAAACAAAGGCTCTGAATATACAAAGAACTTAAAAACACTTACGGTAACTACTTTCACTATCGCTGGCATTAGAGGTTACATGCTCTGAAATTGCAACACAATGGGAAAAAATAAGGAACATACACCAATGGCATGAGTCAAACAGAAAGAAAATCGACAAAAAATAATCCAGATGAAAGACAATACTCATATCAAAGTGCTGAAATCAATACATACTGCATATAAAAGTTTTAACGTACTTCTCATAGCTCTCAGGATCAAGCTTAATTTCATATGAAAGGAATTGATGTTAATAAAAAGAAAAACATTAAATAGCACATAAAATAAGCTTACAAAAAGTACACTAATTCATAATTCACATGTAACCCTGCAATTTTCAAATTTTCACTTCAGGATGAATTTTGTTGTGTGAAAACCTTGGGATTATGCATTTCAACTTTTATGCAGGCAATTTATTGATTACATTTAGTCTCTTGTAGAGAAAATACTGGATTATACTAGAGGAAATATAGTGTAGCATGTGACACAACTTGCATTAGGTGTGATAAGGCAGTTTTAAAAAGTCTGTGCTGAAAAACAGACAAGAAGCATGTTCTGTTTATAGAACAGAATCATCTAGAGATATTTCTGGACCATATTACATAGTTCAAACTAGGTATGATTATAAAACCATAAAGGCTGCTTATGATTTTATGTTCTAAACCATAAGGCCATAAAGGTTGCTAAAATTCTTGGTCTAGACCTAGAATTCCTTTGAAAGTAGCCATTTCAGAACTGAGAAACTAATGTTGCAGCTACTCGAATTTCACGATTGAGGACAGGTACAGAAGTACACTGGCCCTTACAAGTAATTTCACAAACACTGCCTTACAGTTATGCCTTGGGAAGAAATGCTATCCCTAATGACCCTTGGCCACATCCCTTTAGAGATTCCTCTTCCTATTGCATAAGTGCCTAACAGTGTATGTATTTAATATCTGTGATAAAAGCGAGGTCTTGGCTTTTTTTATTTGTTATTTTAATATATTTAGTGATGGGGTGTGTACACACCTACAGTTCTGCTAAGAGTATGCAGCAACTTTTGAATCTGACTGGATTCAAACAGAATTCAAGAAGTGCATCAAGTCACTCCTCTCGGCCCTCCACCTGGTATAAAAATATCCTAAGTGTTCAAGTCAGACAGAAAAACTCTCCTGGCATTTGTTAAGGAAAAGTTGTGTTTGCTTTAAGTAGCTGTAAACATCAGTCACCTAGAGAGAGAAGTGAAAACTGTTACTAGTTAAAGTAGCACGGCAATGGTTGTACTATTACTGTAAAGAGCCATAAGGTTATTTTTAAGTAAATAAAATACGGGGACAAGATATAAGTAACATTAAAAAATAATCACCAAATTAAAAACACAGTACTGTTAAGGACAAACAAGAAAGCACTGGTAAGCTTCTGAAAACAAAAAAAAAATCTAATGTGACAGTCACATAAACTTTATATGTTCCTGAAAGCAAAAACTCCAAAAGATTACAAAGTAGGAAAAGCTTATGAACCAGTTTTAGTCAACCTCCTTATGCCAGTAGAGCACCAATCTCAAAGAGATCTGTCCAAAAAAAAAAAGGAGTAATTTTTCAGATGGAGGTTAAAATAACTTGGGAGTATTTGATCACTTACTCAGGCCTTTTGATCCCATGTCGTCAGGGACCTCCTGCAGAGTAGTCCCCAGAGGGCAAGCAATAAAAAGACAATCACAAAGAAAATAATTGTCAGTAATATATAAAATTGGCGCTACGACAGGAGACAGTTCCTAGAACATCACAGGGAAAAATAAGTCTATAGAATTTGACTTGACTGGCACATGAAGTGCAATCAGTAATGCAAATGGCAGAGAACACAGTTTGTTTTGAATCTGCTCTGAATTAGCAAATTTATGCAACTACATTTTGAGAATACATTTTTTTTTAACTGCTGGCAAGAACAATGAAAATTGGAATAAATTCTCTTCATTAGGAAAATCAAATTAGAATGAATGACTTAGAAAAACCAGTCTAAAGGGACTGATTTGAGAAGCTGGTAAGCTCCATTATACTTTCATGAACACTGTGCCTTCTCCTCCAAGTCAGAAGCAGGGAAGCATCAATGACAACACTGGAAGGCAGTTATCTCCTCCAGTTAGCCAACAGTATTGCCCAGTTTATTCCAAACTGGGATGCTCTTGTGTTAAGTCTTATTTTCACAGCAAACAAAGGTTTGCACTGCTTTTGTAGCCTGGCTTGCCACTGGCACCACGAGCTCCTCAGCCTGTTGCAGCTCATGAAACTGTCTCCATGGTAACACCCTAGTGCAGTCTAGCAGGCCCTTCTACTGTGCTTCGCTCTCCATGGAATGCCACATACTTACGGTCAATATCACTGGTTTCCTGCTCACTCTGGTCCTTGTTCTTGTAGAAGGGAAATTTTCGGGAAAAGAGGTTCTTTTTACGCTTGTCATTGAATGACTGCTGAAGAAGAGAAGGAGGGGCAAAACAAAGGATGTCTAATGTCTGTGTGAACAAAGGCCCGGACCAGCAGCTTTGCGGAAGCTGACTCCTACAACCACATTATGCAGTGCACATCTCAGTTCAACACTCATCTTCTCAGCTCATTAGAAAGAGACTGGGATCATGACTTTGCTCATATCCTCCATGTTTCACATGCTTAGTATTGAGAAAACTGGTTCATGCTATAGAGCCTGACCTGTTTTTCACAAATTTAGGCTTGCTCTGAGCATTAAAAAAGTGGAAAACTAAGCTGCTGTAAGATGGCCAAACCATAACGACTCAAAGTCAATTAAATCACTGATATTATCTCATTTAGGGATTACAGTATTAAAAAAAAAAAACAACCAAAAAACCAAGCTGAGGCTTTTGCAAACAACTGATATTATAACAGAACATCAGAAGTATTGGGCAGTGTTACCATCCAACTAAAAAAACGCCAAAGCTTGTATCAGTGTTTTACTATTGCAATTGATTGTAAATTCACTCAAAGGACTTACTCTGTTCTATGTAAGTCTGCATCTTAATACAAAGATTAAGAAAAGACACAAGTTAATTTCATTGGTTTACTGTGGCAATTATGTTTTTCAAGAGTGTACTTATAATTACCACATGAAAAACCTGTATATCAAGGATCATGTTCAGCAACTTTTGACATTAACTGCTCGTGTTGCTGAAGAATTTCTGCATCTCAGTTGCTACAAACATTTCTAGTTACTTACATAGACATTTACATCCATATTAATGATTATAAACTATTATTGTGCTGCTTGCTTGTCCAAGTGATGGAAAGCATCAATGTATTTTTATTCCTATATAGGTGTCTATATGTAATTAGCACATATTTTAGTCATATCTGCCATATCTTCTGCTGAAGACATCACGTGACTACAGCACCTTTAATTTGGTCTTCCAAGTCAATAAAATGTCTTAAAGTATAAATAAATCAATAACGTTTTAATTGCAATTATGCCCAGTACTAGAGCTAATACAGATAACTTAAAGTCAGCAGAAATTCTCTTCCATCTTTAGGCATGAGTGACTCATCTGACCAGTTTTGCAAAGACATAAAATTTGCCATATTTTTGTCATTTGGTTTGCAGAAAAAAAACTACAATAGAAAGGATGGTAAAATAGGAAAGCACCCAACTTGGTCTTGAGACCCTGTGCTGTAGGGGACTATTTATTTCTAAGCTAAGCAGAGCCTGTGTGCAGCAGGAAGTAAGAAAAGCGCCACAGAAACATCTTTTAAAAGGTATTGTTAAAAAAATTAATCATGCATTCAAGACTCTATTAACAAGTTTTTCTAAAATTTGGAGTATGTTAGCTTTCAAGTAATTGTTTGTCTTTGTTCAGCCAATGTGAGGTCACATTCCTCTATTATATGCAATACAGTTGCAAAAAGGCATGTTATCCTTTCTACCAGCATTAAGTATGGAATGAATTACAGTAACAAGAAGGGGTCAAACAGGACAGAGTTTTTTCAAAAAATGGGCCACATTTTTTGTACAATTGAAAACTAGCACCTGACTTTCCTAAAGAGAATGTCTGTAGTTGTGCTCCTTTCCTACAGTACAACACAAAAGCTGCATCCTGCTACAGGACTAACAATCCTTCTGGCCAGATGTGCTTGGCAATAGCAGATACTTAAACTTCCAGTGATATTTTCATTACCAATGTTTTTAAAAATTACAAGGTGTTAAAGCGGTGCATGGTACCATGGGAACACAATCAGTGACATTGACCTGTGGAAATAACAATACTGTGCTAAGGAGGAAATCCATAAAGCCTTTAATTGCCTTGCATCTGTGTTCGACTAAAACTGTTGTTCTGCTGCAAAAATTGGTAAATTATCAGCCTAACACATAGACAAAAGGTGAAGTTTCAAGCCAATCATAGGCCTGCAGGAACCATACTTGGCACAGGCAAATTTTTATGTTATGGTCCTCTTGACTTTCTCTAACAGAATTCAAGTCACTGCCAATGATTTCTCACAACCAGGAAGGGTAATGTAATCTAGAGAATAAGGACAACAAAGAAATATGTCCAAAGGAGATCCTTGCTGATTATACTGAAAAATACTGTAAGACTCACATCTATAATTGTTTCATTTGGGCAAGTCCATCAGTTTGGTAAAAGGAGACAAATGTAATAAAGCTAAAATAGTTTAGTTTAGTTGAGGTGGTGAGAATGGGCAATCTGTACATTTAAAATAAAAGGACTAGCTGATTTATTTTGCATCATAAAATATAATCAAGTTCTTCATTATAGTTCTGAAAATATTTCATAACTATTATTTTAACTTTCTGTACAGTAACTCTTCCTGAGCTAATATGAAACTATATACTGCATGTATAATGGTCAGAGTCAGTTCCATTGCCAAAAAAAAGAGAAGATAAAAGTAATATTATACTGATTTTGCATAAAACATTAGCCAAAAGATTACTTTTAAAAGATATCATGATTATAAAAAGCTAGAAGGATTTGCTTATTAGTTGAAAATGCACAGTAATTGCATTAAATTTTTCATAAGCCCACTGGCAATCATTCACAGGCATTATAAGCAGGAATATATTAAATCAGAAGTAGCACAGAAAATGAGATAAATGTGTATATGAACAGAACAAACAAGAATAAAATGTAACCATTTTTGCTCCAGATTTTTTAGCTTTCCTTACAGTGAGAGGATCATGGATTTTAATGTTAGCCATCACTAGGGTTATTCCTCAAGGTCTTAATGTAGAAATTTTCAAAAACTGTATAAATTTGGTATTTCATCCTGTTTATGGAGAATTAGCACACACAGACACAGGAAGGCACATAGTCCATGAGGACATGTATGGAGCAGTCAACTTACTGGCAAAAGTATCATGACAAATACAGGAGGAATACTTCAAGGAGAAACTCTGATGTTAAAACATTTACAGCTGAAGCAAGAGACTGTGAACAGTGTAAGTGTTTGCAAAATGAAATGTTACTAAAGAAAAAGAACTGCAGTTCTACATCAATGGCAAGCGTAGTTGCTTTTCCACTCAGTACTCCATGCATTTCTTTGGTGCTCTGTTAGTACACAGGGACTGTGCACCAACTCTGCTTTTGTCAAAACGCTACTTCAAACACATCAGTAATTAACTGTTTGCAGTTAATTGGTAGACACCCTCTAAAATCATGCAATTATCTTTCAAAGAACATGGTAACATTTGAAAAATTCCTTAGTGTATTGAAAAGAATCTGAAGTATTTAAGCTTCACTTTATATGACTTCTAAAAAGCAAATTCAAATTACCATGTCAGTTGATAATATTTTATTCCAATACCAAACTACAAAAGCACCAAAACAGAAAAATATTGCCAATAATCCAGTAAATCTACAGGGCAGTACCATAATTGTGAATCAGAGAGTAGTTAGAGATATTGATTTTCTTTTAAGCAAATACTTACAGGGGAAAAACTTGACATTTCATTAATAACTGAAACCTTTGCCATGTAGCAGAGGGATGTATATATAAATTTTAGAGCCTTTATACTTTGCAGTCCTGCACTATCAGGATATAATACTGAAGCTTTAATATTTCATGTATGCAATTTCTGAAGTTATGAAAACACTGTAACTGAAATAAATTACTAAAAGGCATTTGTGGGATTTACAATAATGACTAAACAATGCTACAGCATTAATGCAATTAAAAATATAATAACTTTTTAAGAAATAGTTTCCTCAGGAACGTAAAGCACACTTCAGATTTTTTTAAATGGCAATATATTATTAATTTAGAAGACTCTTACATCTAAAATGTGCCTAAGTTTTGAAATTAATAGTCACATACTACTGGTAGAAATGGTAAGGTTGTGGAATTGTTTTTCAAATTTCAGAATAGCCAAAACGTTGCAAAAAAGCCTCACCCTCAAAACAACAAAAATATCTGGCTGCTGTGCCATTATGAAATGGCTAAAATTTTGGCTACAAACATTCCCATTACTACTCAAGTAGCCTCACTTCTTTGTCACTACTCATTCCCAGCACATGTCCTGTGACAGGAATCACACCTGGTGCAGAGCTGTTAGAAATGGCACTATTCAATACTTGGTTAGGATATACAGCTCCTACTACATTACAGTATTAAGAAATATACATATTTCTATGCTAATTCTTTATACAATTTGCAGTGTTTTGGCAATTAAAGTCTGCTTTGGTGCTCAAAATTATTTCTATTTGATAGAATTTACTCTTTTCACTCAAATCTGAAAGTGATTCTCCACACACAAAACTGCTGAAAAATGTTACCATTTACAATTCCAGGTGTAATTAGCACTTCATTAACTCACCCCTTTATCTCCTCTTGTTTTGGAATTGAATTTCACTGTCTTCAAACGGGCTCGTTCTTTTTTCTCAACTCTACCACAAAAACATGCACAAAAATGTCAGAAATCAGCAAAATTCCAGAACTTCAAGTTAGCACTTGCTGCAGCAGAAGCATATTGGTGTACCTTTTGTACTATACATTTTATTGCTTATGACACATTCAGAAAACGGAAGCCTGCTAATGGAAAACTGTTATTTCTCAAGTGATGCACTGTGGAATTGTTGGAAGTATTTTGTGGCTACACATGTTCAATAAACCCAGAGAGTGCAAAGAGGAAACACAACACAGTAAGTCAACAGCCTCAATTATCAGTCAATAGCAGATATTAAGATTCAGAGCACCTAAACTCTTATTTGAGTCTCCAGTATGCCAACAAAAACCTCATCTCCATTGGCTACCAAAGAATGATTTTTCAGTTTTCCAGGTTCTGGGTAGAAAGAATTCATGACCGTGTCATGACTTGAATAAAATTCATTCATACTTTCCACCTTTTCATACATAAATGGTTAATTATCTGATATTAAACCCATAACTTACAGTGAGAACAAAGAAGATGGATGTCGACCACCTTTTTTAACTTCAGCACATAACTTCTAGGGCTAAATGGGGTTTTAATAAATTTTTCATTGAGCAAATGAGAATCCCACTACAGATTACTTAAAAACAAAAGAATCAAACAAGCAGCTGATGTGGTACAGAACTAACAAGAAAGAGAAAAGCATATACAATATATATATTAATCAGATCAGATGTTTAATAGCAGACATCTCCAGGTCAATAAAGTTTGCCATACCTCCGTTTGCTTGGGATAACTCCAATTTCATCACTTTCTCCATCTGGAGTTACCTGCCGTGCTTGCCACCATTCATCATCAGAAGCATTAATGACATGGAGAATATCGCCGAATTTGAAGTTCAATCCTTGACTTGGAAGGCCACTATCTTTAGTCTTGTCATAATCAAAAAGAGCTCTACATTGAAAAGAAAAAATTAAACATAGAAAAAAAGCAAGAAAAAAACAGGAGAGTATGAATAGCACAAAACATGAAGCAAGCTGCCTGTGCTATTCATAAATGATTGCATCATTCTGACAGGTACTTACAAGAAGGCTGAATACACTCTCTCATACACACAGAGAAAGTGTAGTACAGTACCCCCACACACTTCAAAGCTTTAATGAATGAGAAAAAACTTCATCCAGAGCAAACCTCTAGTGCTTTACAAAAGCTCTACAGGAGACACCTACTGCAAGTCAGTAAGTACTTTGCACAGAGCAAGTTACATGTCAGCCTAGGATAAAAAAGACAAGCAAGTATTTAAAGCATAGAGCATTGTCAGAAGTTCTGTAAAATATACTTCCATATCAAGTTATAAATTTGAATTATTTAGTAATTCAGTACAGTTTAGTACTGTCTTTAAAATAAAAGTCAGTATCATCAGTATCCTGCTCACAGGAAAAGAAAAAATAACTGAGAAATATGACCTGGTCACCACTGCTACCATAGTACCCAAAGGCAGAGAACCTTATGCACATTCATTTAGGAAATTCCTGACCATTTTGAGAGAATCTCGCCCTTTTTCCTAAGGTAAGCCTGTTTTAAAATAATAGGCACTCACAATACCTGAGCAGCAGCTGCGTGACTACAGTTTTATTAACATTCCCTCTGGCAGCCAGATTGGTTTATGCAACTGACTCCTGTTCCCCATTTTGCTTAAGAAAGCACAGTTGTCTGGAAAGACACATGGTCCACCACACTATGGAACTGATCTGGTTTAGAAGTCATATCTTTTCTGCCTTTTGGATCATTTTATATCTGGACAAGTTCCCTGAGGAAATGAAGATACCTGCAGTCTGTTTCTTCCTGGCACAGCTGAGGGTTTAATGAGGACGTGGAAATGAAAGATGACAGGAGTCTCTTAGCAAATGGCAAGAGATACTGCTCAGGTTCTGCCTTCTAAAGGACTTCTTTTACATTTAAAAATAGTTCGTGAACCTCACCTATGTGAAATAAATTATTGTATGACACAGTCCAAAAAATCCTCAACATTATTTAATCTGCCAGCTCATGTGTTGTCAGTGCTGGACTTTCTGAACAATACCTGAATTCAACTTACTCAATGCCAAGCCAAAGTAGTACCAAGAGATTACAATGTGATGATTTAAAAGGGTGCCATTTTCCTTGTCCAAATTCAGCTTGTTTCTTCATCCTAAACACTGGTCTTACATATCTTTTTCTGCTAGATTTTTAGTATCACAGAAATTTTTAACCCATGTAAATCAAAACTTGTTTACCCTAAAATCTACTTCAACTTTGTGAATTTTGCCTTCCTCAAGCACCGAGTGATCTGTATGTGTTCATAACCAATAACAAGTTGTTTACAGGGAAAAAATTCAAAATATTCTGTCAGACCAATTAATTTTCAGCATCTATTGCAAAACCAGACCTGTTTGAGACACCATGCCTTTCTTAGGCTATAAAATAGTAAAAAAAAAAAAAAAACCCTAAAGGATTAAAGGTTTTAATAAAGATTTTTAGAATGTCCAAAAAAGACAGAGATTTTCAAATGGCTTCAAAATATTTGCTCTCTTGATACAAAGAGCCTTATACTTAAATCTGTGATACCTTTAGTTTAAGTTTATAACCAAATTCAGACTCAATTTTGAAATAGCTTGGAGGTTGAAATACCACCTTCTTTAGCAGTGCAACCTTCATAATGAGATCTTTTGGGTTAATTCCACAGCACACTTAAGATATCCTGATTATTTTTTAAAAAATCTGAACTTTTTTTTTTTTTAATGGCCAAAATATTGCAGATAAGAAAATTATACAGATAGGAAATAGCTCCACAATTATTCTGCACATTTGTTCAAGAAACACTCTGGACAAGTATCATTTCATACCTCAAAATAAACTGCACATAATCCAGTATGTACTTTCAATGCAGATTCAAGTTGTATACATTTTCACTGAATTAATTACATGCATCGTGACATTTATTTCCTGAGATTTCTTGTTAGCATTCAAGCAATGATTTCTACCAGCTCCATTTTTTACTTCTATTTTTGAGTTTGCATATGAATTTATAAAAGCTGTGAGCTCGGCCTAACAGCATTAACATATATGTTGACTGCATGAGAAAAATGCTCAGGAATGAGATTAAAGCAGAAATGGATAAAGCCATTATTATCAGTATGTGCTTTTCCAACTAGATAAATGGTTACACAGAGCAGGTTCTGTACAATAAAAGGCAGTTTCATCAAACACATTTTCTCTGGTAAAGTCACTTCAAGAAAAATAATTTTACTGGACAAAAAAAAAAAAAGTCAAAGCTGATGAAGACAGTTGTATAAAAAGATCATTGAGGGTGTCACATAATAGTGACAAAAGTATGCAGCTAACATTTATAGGAATACCAGGAACTGCTAATGATCCTATAAATGACTTCAAAAGCAAACAGAATTAACAAAAATTTCTTTTGATTCCAAGTGATTAACATGGCTTTTCCTGTATGCCTGGCACATCATCAGCCAAGAACTCACTTCACAGCCCAGATGTGAAGCTGGAACATAAAGCTTCAAGCTGGAATATAAAAAATATTGCTTCTATTAACTTCCTGCACGGGGATTTTCTTTACAGATTAAAAATGCCATGTATACATTTACTTATTGTAAGTTATAAAAACAAATTAACTTAAAAATAAATTTAGTAATCCTGATCAATTACTGCGTTGAATGCAGATGCATAATATTTACAATAATGTTCTGTTTAAATTTAAATGGGAAGTCCTTAAAAAAATATTTTCTAGAGAAAGCACACAGTCCCCCCTTTTATTTGACTTAGTATTACTCAGGAACTAAAGAGCACTAAAAAGGCAACTCAGCTCCTTCATCTACAAGTCTAGAGAAACTGAAATTAGGTTGCATATTTCATGAGTGTTTATGGTTCAAAGCCCAAAATGTAATGGCTGTGTAACAGTGCCAAATTGTCCAGAGTATCTTTTTACCTGCCACACTCATTACTTTCAGTGTCATAGGCTGTTGACCAAGTTCTACTCAAGCATTTCTTCAACAAACAAAGCAACCAGGAATTCCTTCAGCAAAAGCAGCTCTATGTTTCATTTCATTAAATATGAATTAACTTCACCACTTCACAATAAATGACGGTCAGCTTGTAAAGGAGGTTCTCCTTTTTTGAGTTTTTGGGAAAGTTGTTTGAAACTCAGTGTTTGAAATCTGAGAATACCATAGAGATGGCCCAATTAAACAGCAGACAAGTACACTTAGCCTGCTGCTAATAGCAGATCTTATTTTTTCAAAGGACTTAGTCAAAATTTCTTAGTAATTTTAAAACTGTTAAGTTTTTTCAACTTGTAGACATAATCATTTTTTTTGCTGTGATTCAAGCACAAATCAGCACCATTGTCTGAATTTGGAATGTATTGTGCTGATCAGAAAAATGCACAAAGGTAAATATAATAAAATGCACAAAGGTAAATATAATTTTTGAATGCTACATATGTTGCAGACTGAGACTTGCCACAGAAGATGAGATGTAATATGGAACAGATTTACTCTCTCACCATGTATTATCACAGAAACTTGATACCATGAAGATATCTCACATGTGCTTTTTGAATCTCCAGATGAGCATATATAATATAGATCAGATGCAAACCCAGAAACATTATGAGAGAATCTGTCTCTGAACAAAGACCAGAAAAAATATAAAGCAAAGTAAGACAAGACACATCAGTACATCTGAACTAGCTGGGGACAGGGGGCATGCTGTGGGGTGACAGTAGGACGTGCAAATGGAGAGTCAGCTGCTGCTGAATTGCTGTATTTGTTTTGCCCTCCAAGGGCTGTCTCCTAAATTGCTGTGCATCATTTTTTGATATAGATACAATTACACAGAAATACCTGCCATTTTATTCTAAATTGTATTTTTGGGCAAACACAATTGTCTTTTCCTTTATATTACATAATACCAAAAAAGGCTGTTTACAGGCAGTCTAGTCTTAAAGATATCATGTTTACAGGGATACAATGATCTATGTGATTTTATTTCCTAATTTCATTTTGAGAAAGCAGCAGAGATGATTTTCAGGATATTTTTATTTAATAGCCTTTCTGAAATTGTGATTGTTACATAACTGGATCCTTTAAGGCATATCCAAAACCCAGCACTACTGAAAAAAGATATCTGAAGTTATTAAAGTTGGCTTTGATTTAAATTAAAAGTACAGTATGACTATACCAGAGTGACTTATTATAAGAAGTAAAATGGGTAACTAACACGTTCTGTCAGTATCTAGCAATATGTGAAAATATTCTTAAGTTACTTCAATGGGGTCAAAATTACATCAGAAACAAGACAGAACAGATGAGAACCCTTTCTGTGCATACAAAGCTGCCTCCCAGTCTTTGGCAGCTCTTGGTATGATGACACAAGAAGATCCCAAAAGCTCTAGCAGCACCCTCTGTAAAAAGATGTGGGTAGAAATGTACTTTTGTTGTGGAATTTTTGCATTTTAGATATTTGTACTGACTTACACCAACACTGAATATTGAGCCTCAAAACCCTCCAATGAAACCAGTCCCCACCAGGCTTGTGGTAACAGCCTGGAGAAGGCTGCAAGTTCTGCAGCAGCTGGCAAAGTCAAAAGCTCATCAATTCCATCAGTAGAATAAAAGCTACATAGTGATAAAATGCTTGTCAGTGGGTCAAAATATCAGATGTGCGAACATGAGCATAAGCGGTTTAGAACCTAATCAGGCTATAGCTAACCAAGCAAAATAAAAGCATTTAGAATTGTTTGGGCTTAGGTATATGATAAGACTAAAGCAATAAATCTTGGGATTACGGAAATTAAGATCTTGGCACAATATCCATATGTACACTTATCTACCTGCAGAAATTCAAACATATGGATAACTGTGGTATCAAGCACTGACCCTTACTATTTAAGGCATTTATTTTTAGAGATTTAAATTTTGACCCTCAAAATATTTAAGGCAAACAGAAGTAGAAAAAAAAGTAGGCTCAGATCTGAGAAAACAGAATCCAGCTACTGAAACAACAGGTCAAAACACAGGAACTACCTGTTAAGAGTCAAGCTAAACAGAAGCCCTATGAGTATTTAGCTACATTTGTGTCAAGCATTCAGCAATAGTTACAAGGGACCATGACTTTCCTCAGCACGGACGCAATTACTTGGGGAACAGCTTGGTGTGCGGCTTGCTTCCTTTCCCACAGCTCAGTAGACAGAACACACCATGAACAAAACACTATCTGCTTTGGATGGGAAAAGTCAAGAGCGCCTGAGCCTGCTTACTTTTAGGAGGTAAATCAGTGAGGTCCTACAACATTTTAAATCATGTATAACCTTAACCCAAACACCAGAACTACTTGAAAGCTTACCTGCTCTATTGAAACATTCTGGTCCCTACCAAGAGGCTACTGACTCAATCCAGAGATGAGCTGATTTGAAGAACTCAAAAACCAATTTATTTTTAAAAATGTAATCCTTTTACCCACGTTCCATACTTGAAACGTTATGCTTTATCAGTACATGATAACCAATGGAGGAGTTGATTGACACACGAATAAGGTGCATCCTGACATAATTCCCTTGTGAAACCACCTATTTTCTCATCTGCTTCATGCTCTTATGTTTCCACTTCCTTTCAGCCTCCTTTATGTTTAACTTGATATGAATAAATTAATGAGTTATACTCAGTTCATTTGCTTTGCATTTTCTCTCTTGGTTACCATGGAAAAATATTCCATAACAAAATTAAATTGGATAGAGAAATAAGGTTCCTTAATAAAGCCAAGAAAACAGCTAAAGTAAGCTGAAGGAAATAAGATGGAAATCTGTCAAAACTTAAAGAGAAGACTATAAATTTCAACTCAAGTACTGAACAAGGGAGAATATGAAGACTACTGTCACAAAAACACAAACTGAACTACGCAAGTTTTTAAGACTTCACATACACTGACTTAAAGAAGAAATATACGTTTTTGCTGAAGGATTATCATCTCTCTCAAATCAAAGGACAAAAAGCAAATAATAGCACCATTCTTCAAAGTTCATATAGTTCTTAGGGATATTACTACTTTTTCAGCTATATTACATTAATCAGTCTAAATACAGTTTTATTTTTATTATATTTGCATATAAGCATCCCTTTATGAATACTTGGTAAATAATTGTACAAAAACACAAATACCAAAAGAGTAAGTCTAAAGAAAGCAGAAAAACACAGTAGCAGTACTATGAAAAAGATGATTACCTGACATAGAGGGATCTCTTCTGGCTGGTTCGCAAAGATCCTGATCCTGAACTAATGCTACTGTTCATCATCTGCTCCCGTAAATCATGGATTTTAGCTTCAAAACGACTGTATTCTGCAACAAAGACAGGCATGGCAATTAATTTCCTGCCAAACTTCAGCAATTAAACTGAAAGAAAATTTGAAATAATTTTTATTAGAGAAAGAAAATATACAAGAATATTGTAATTCAAAATTCTGTGATTATAATCTATAGTTCACAGTAACAATTTTTTTCAAATTAAGACAAACATTTCTACGATTAATTATCAATTTCATAGTAATAAAAAGACAGTTATAGATTAATTTTTACCCATGACAGAAAGGAAACTTCAGAACCTACACATGAAATACATGTTTACAACCAAGAACTGCATTTTTTAAATTTTAAATGTTAAGAAATGGAAATGAAAAATGTCTGTACTTCAAAATTACTGGATATGATTGAGATAAAGAATTTAACACTGCAAGGTGGGAAATATGCAAAACATCTTCTGAAATAAGACCATATTCCTCTGCAAGCTCAGGAAAGGAAAAAAAAAGATCCACAATTCTGGCATGAATTTCAATCCACTTGTAAACTGCATTAGAGATTCAAACTGCCCCCACAGAATTATGTACAATGTTAATCCTGGAAAAACGGATTGTGTTCTTAAGCAGCACCATGTACTAATAAAACTATGCTAAATGCATTTGATTTTAGCTACAAAGGCAGACAGGAAAACAGTAATTGTTTCTTCAGGACAAACATCTCCTGAAGTGAGGTACTTACATGCCGTCAGCATAAAATACGAACTCAGAGCAAGTAAGTTTTTCCTTCAGCTGAATAGTTTGGACTTCATGATCAACAGATCCACTTGTAAACCCTTCCTAGTCAAAGGAAATGTTGTGCAGCCACCACCTTCCCCAGGAGACCATGTGATGCCAGATTATAACAAGTCAACACCGGCAGAGCCAGGGCGTGTGTGCCGCGAGCAGCTGCCGGACCGGGCACTGAGCTGCTCTCCTGAGCTGCACCCTCACTCCCTGCGGGCACCAGGTTATTCAGGAAGTGCAAGACTGAGAAAGGACTCTAAAATAAAAAATCTTGAGAAAATCTCTAGACTAAGGTTCCTTCAACAGCCATCTAAAAACTGTGAATGTTTTATCATATTATGTTCTGCAGCCCTTTCTCCCCACACTCATCATACAGTGAGCACCGACAGCATCTATAATTAACCCTATCCAGATCATGACAATATGAACAGTCTCTTCAATAACCTTAGCTTTTGTCCTTTATAAGCAAAAGCTAGTAGCTTTTAAGATATCCTAGTTTTTAAAATAGCACTAAGTGTCTGTTTACAAGTAAAGTTCAGATCAAACACTTTACCGGCACTAAATCAAACTGATGATGTTGTTTGACAAGAGAATCAAAACCATTATTTCCACCACTACCGATGGTATCACTAACAACAAAAGAATGTAAGATAACAGGACAGTAACCAAAGAGGAATGTGAGAAAACAACATTTTTTAGAAAGCAGCATTCTTTAGGGGAAGGGCTCAGATGCAGTGAGAGAACAGCCCACTCCTGCTGTACTACTGCTGCCTTGCAGGACCTTGGGTGAGTCACCTCATTTTATTCATTTGTAACCAAGAAAATATAAACCTAAAAGATTTTTGTATGCCCCTGTATGAAAGGAAAGAAAGCATGGAAAAGATCAGATAATCCCAGTGTTTTCTTGTGCTACAGCCTGTTCAGTACTAAAAATATGTGCAGCTCTTTGCAATAGTTACTGGAAAAAACACAAATTTCTGTATCATGTCATTTTATCAAAGAATCAAACTTCCTCCTATGCAGCACATTGATATGAGAGCTACCAGGGAGGCTATTTCCCAGTATTGCTTAACTCTATCCTATATTTCATCTGCAGGTTGCTGGTCTTGCAGCTTCCTGAACTAATTTAATTTTTCTCATCAGAACTCCTGGGAAGTAAGTGCTGAATGAGTGACAGGGACATCTGTAGGAGTAAGGAGGAGAATAATTTCACCACAGAGGCTCCTGCCATATGAATAAAGCAAAAAAAGGAAACTAATGGGCTGTTCAAAAGGAAGGAGTGCCAAGAAATTTCATATTTAGGAGAAGCTTAAGCACCGTGCAGTCAGAATCTGGTGAGCTCCTTTCATGCAGAGCTAGCTAAAATTTGAGATATATTCCTCTTAACAGAAGGTTTTGGGAGGAACAGGATAAATAGAATTCTCACCATCATTTGGTTTGGAACTAAAAAGTACACAGGCTTTTAAAAAAAGAAACCTTAGTATTAGGTATAGTGCTGCTGAAACTAATGCTGGAGACAGAAAGTAACACAGCAGCAGGACTCTTGATAGCACCAGAAAAGCAGTGTTAGCCAAAAACCCAAAGGATCGGCACCTGTGCCCTGCTGACAAGGTAGGGATGGTTCAACATCAGCTTTATGAAGCAAAGTGTGAGCTCTGCTAATTTATCTAGAAGAGGTTATAATTTGTCTAGGACAGGTTATATTTCTATCTCTGTGATTAAGAAGAGTTGGATATCAAGTGTCTTTTTCGTCTTCAATCTCTTACTTTCCTTCAGCTTATCATGCCTAGATTCTCACAAATGCTAGAGAACTATTTTCTTTACAATGCTTTTCTTTCTTATATTATGCATAATAGTCATATATAGTGTATGACAAGTTTGATATTTGTTCCCCTAAATCACAGTGAACAGCACAACAAACTTCCACTTGGCTGTGACATTATCATACACTGCACATATAAATATGTAATTTATAAAGAAAGTTTTGTCATGTCAACATTCCTGAAATGTGGAGCTGGAACAGGCACAGTGAACAAGATGAAAAGGACACTCTGCTTTCTTGGTCAACAGGAAATGAAGAGCTTGGCAGGGAAGGAACGCATTTGATTTCTGGTGTAGTGTTATCAGGGTAACAAAAAGGGCATAAGCTGTTTAAATGAAAATGAAAAAGTGATTTTAACCCAAATGAAGCAGGCTGGCCACTGGAACTCCATCTACAAATATGCTTCCAATTTCCACAGCCATCGAAACACTGAGATTCTGAAATACTGTTTTAATAAGAACTATGGTGGTACAAGAAACACAGACACCCGCACAAAAAGAAATTCAAAACCAAAAGAAAACCACACAATCCAAACTCTCAATTCTTTCAGTAAGAATTTGGTCAGGCTCGAAAACCAGACATAAATGCAACAACAATGAATGAAACTTCACTCAGAATCAATTTAAAGGTCTGAATTTTAGGAAAGCTGCTGCTGATATACAACAAATAAAGGATAACAGGCAGCAAAACTACCACAAAACACAATAAAATAAAAGCATTAGAATAAGGGCATCTTTTCTTGACTAGAATTTTCTCAAAGTTTCCAGGAAGTTCAGAGGCAGGGAGGGAATAGTATCTACTGACATAACAGTGAGATCGAGGAAGCACAAGCACCTCCTGCTTCAATTCATGGCATTTATCCAACAGAACCCCACCATCACCAAAGAAAAAAACCCAAAGCCTGCTCAGGTTGACACAATCAGTTGTTAAGAACAGAGGATGAATAAATCTGGGCTCAAGTTTAAACTTTAAAATTACACTGGATAAGCAGATGGTGCAAACTAGACTAAATCTGCTCTATTTCATGTCTGCATGTATTCCACAGCAAGAAACAAAAAGAAGGAGAGATTAGCAAATCCTAGAAGATTACTCTGATTCCAAGCTGCTAAAGTGATTTTACCCAGAAATCCGTAATATTTTCAATGTCAATATTTACTTGAACAGAAAATCAGAACTCCAGAAAGGATCTGATCACTGAAACTCTCCTGGACTGCCCATCTGGTAGGCAACAAAACAGAAATACAGAGAAAAATTGTCTGTACAGGCAGGGGAAGAGGAAAACGCTGCTGCAATGGAAATGCATCTGGTCTGGAACACACATTCTAGCAAAGGGGCAGGAGAGCAGGAGGCTGCACAAGGGATGGGAATTCAGCAAACAGCACAGGAGGAGCAGCGACTGAAGGAAGCCGGGATGTGCGCACAGGGAACAGATGGCAGCGATTCTTACATATAGTGAACCCACGTAGAGCTGAAAAAGTTCACTTTCATTAAAAAAGTATGCCCCTTGCTTCCCTCTTCCCATCTGTCTATGGAAAGCCCTCTTTAGCAGGGCCTATTGGATCTGTCTAAGGAGGACTCCTGTGCTGACAATTTTATATAACTACTGATTTATAGTCTTTTCTCAACTTGCAGAATATTCAATTTTCCTTTTCATGGTGCCTCCAAAGAGAGAAATTAAGTCTTAATTAAGAAATTAAGTCAGGATGGTCACCATCACACTGATCCTATACTCATCTTCCATTTTTCTTTTAAAATGCATGGACCACAATAAAAATATCATACATCATTTTTGAGGAGATATTTTGCTGAAATGCTTGTCATTTGATATGAACATTGCCTGGGACAGACCAGAATGAATTCCACATGCTGTTGGTGGCTTTCATACAGTCTAATGTTTAATGAGCTTGTATCTCGTTAATCACTTGAAAGACTGCGCCAAGCAATCTTAAAAGATTAGAAAAACTGCATTAGTATTTAGTTAAGAACACCTCCCACACACCCTGGAAAACTCAGAAAGAGACTAGGTCCAGTCACTGCTGAGGTGAATCCACTAAAAATGTTGCTGAAGGCTTAGCAAGCACCCACAAGCAATTTTATTTACTATATTAAAGAGTAGGAGTGAGGTTTTAAAGGATTAAAACGTGTAAGCTGCCTTATAGCGTCTATCAGGGCTATATTTAGCAAAACCCTTTTTCTAATCTTAATGGGTCCAGTTTTGAAAATACTCTAATTGACTAATCTAGATTACTTGCAAATGAGTAGAACCAGGTGCAAAACAAGCAAGAACAGAAACCTGGAAAACCAGGGACAGTATGCTCAAAAACAAGGCAAACCTTTTTTTAAGTTTTTTTTTTAAGAATTTTTCATTTTATGAAATCAGGATGCTCTGATCTTTTGAATGACCTTTACTGAAGAACATCCATGTCCTCATCTAGAAAGCAAGGGAAGCTCAGCCTCGATAAAAAACAATTACTGAAAATGAAGTTTTGTACAAGCATTATTGGCTTCATGCTACCCCAGCTAGACTTCTGCAGACAGAAGATGTACAATGTATTTCAAGACTAACACTCAGAAAACAATCTTAGCTTATACATATGAAAAAGGCACCATTTCCCAGAGCTCAGTTATTCTCTTTTGAATTACATAAATGCAGCATTGTGAAAAGAGAAATCAGCCACACTCTGACCAATGAGCAGAGAGCTCTAACAAAACTTTTGTGTTTCCTCCTTTTTTTTTTCTTTTGAGTAATTTGTTTTAAAGACGAGAGAATGAAGAAAACACAGTTTCCATTAATAAAACTGAAAGAACGTGCGTTAACTCTACATGAACAATGTAGGTTCAGTAGCAGATGCTTTACAAAAATACTTTGAAATCTTCTCTTCATGTTTTGGTTCCACCTTCTCCTAATCTTACACTGATCCACCAGATCACCTAAGAACATGAAGCTAATCTGATCACTTAAATATCTTACTACTTTCAGAAAATAAATTATAATTTTATTTTTGGTATGACAGGTGAATCCTTGGGAAACAGAAAGGGCTGGTACCCTTTTCTGTCATGACAGGCTTCTCTGAATTTTGCCCTGCTTTGGGGAAGGATGAGGTGACCAGTGAATGACTACTGATGCCAATAGACTTGGCCTGCTGCCTTCTTCAAGGCTCTCCAAGAGCAGGCCTCACAGTTTACATAACTGCAGTTAATGTTACATCCTTAACACAGCTCAGTTCTGATCTAGCAGAGTATAACTACAATAGAAAGCTTAACCCAATAAATTATTTTCTATCTAATTTTAATCAAATATATTTTCATACTTTTAATATATTTGTTTGGCTATTCTATTATTTTTAAACACTTAAATGGACACAAACTATAATACAGGTATGGCAGCCCACTGGCACCTCATACCTTTTTGGAATGGCAAAATATAACCTTCCAGAAATTCTGAATTGTGAGGCAACATTGTTATTACATTTCAGATGACATTTTCATTCGAATGAATGTAACAATGGGTATCAATGTGAACCACAGAGCCCTCCAGAACTGTAATCCTCTGCAGTCCTATACTTCCCCCTTGCTGCTCCTCCCCTCACTACATTCCCTTCAAGCACTCCGGTTCCTGTGTCCCTGCTATGCAGCACGATCATACTGCTGACCATTCTGAATCCCCACTGCCAGGAGATACACACATATCCAAACTGCTTACTGCTTCCTCTCATTCCTCTGCACCACTACAATTCTCCCTTGCCATCCTCGCTCTGCAGGAAACCCAGAGACACAGCAGTGTGGCACTGAGGTGTCTGCAGAGCCAGGAAGCAGCACAAAAATTAAATGGATCAGAAGCCACTGAATTAAAATGGCTTATCAAAACACTTTTGTATACTGAAACAACATTTCCTGCTTTGAAACTGCTCCAGGTCACAGTATTTCTTTTCCACCTGAATTCACAGCAAAACAAAATCCCTTTTTATTCATGAGCGATGTCTTGAAAGGAGGTAGAAATTTGTAGTACCAGCAAAGGAGTAAGGAAAAGCTTCCAAATAAAGATGAAAATGAGAACAACATCCTGACTTCCCAACCACATTTCTACAGGATAATTCCTGTTTCACAAACTCATGCTCGTCTCCTGCTATAGATCCCTCTGCAGCATCCAGCCCCTACAGGTCCAAAGCCACTGATGTGTCCAACCAGGGAGACTCTGTATGACACCCATGGCATCTATGCACCACAGAAGGATGCACCAGCACAACCCAACAGGCACCAGTTTCCAACATTAGCTCCTGGCAAGTTGCAAGATAAAGCCTGGAGTCTACAGGGAGAAAGCCTGAGGTCAACTGAGTACAGTTGTGGGGGTGCCTGATGCCTGAGCCACTTCTGGAAACAACACAACACACTCACATTCCACGTTTGGCTTCTACCTGTCCCAAAGACTGCTGGCAAGTTGCTGAAATTTAATTCAGTGCAGTAGAAAAATTTTGTAAGGCATCCTTCAAATTTATTCAACACTCCTGGAAACTGAAGGAATGCCCAGAAAGACATTTTAAATAATGTAATTACATCTGTTTTCACTCAATTCCATAACCAAGGAACATTGTGGAGATTTAAGGGAAAGAAAAATCAGTGGTTACATAATTTGAGCCCAAATTCAATAAAATCAATTTCATTCAGTCATAATAGCCTATCCCAAACCCAGTAATTATGAGTTTAGTTACCATGGATTTGAAAAGAGACATGGAAAATTCAAGCCTTTGCATGAGAAGGGTTTTCCAGCAACTCAATTTTCTATAGCCTAACTCAGACTTTTCTATGAGAGAACTGCTTGCAAAAAACCTCTTTTCCCAAAAATAGGAGGAGAAAGATAAATGGGAAATTTATGATGGGAAAATAGGAAATGTGATAGCATGTAAAAACATAAATTATCATTCCCCACCACATCTATGAACACACAAACTGTCATATACAATAACAGGGAGTGAAGTGAGCCAGTCCCAAGTGTCTTCCAAATGCTCCTATCATACTGAATCTCTTTACTCAGTTATAATGAACTCTGATGGGTGTCTAGAATCTCCTTGATCTGTCCTAGCTGTCACCATCTTTTACATAATCCTGCTGGATTCATAAATATAAATAAAATACATATGCAATACAAGCAGTTATAACTGATGCTCTCCATCTTTATGAAGACATTTGAGAAACACCAATAATGAACAACTTTATAAATATTTTAATACTTGTTAACATGTTTCCAAGTGGCAGAAACAAAAAATTAGGATAATTATAAAAACACACACACACATTTATTCATAAAATAGTTGACAACACTGAAGAGTCAAGCAGAGGACAGACCAAATGTGTATCAACAGAAATATTTGGCAATTCTAACACAAAGCCAAAGCAAATATTTCAGAACCAATGCTGACCTTACTGTTCTTTTTAAAAGGCAGTCTCGGAGTGAGCACTGTTAGAAAATGAATTCTGGACCACAGCAATGTACAGATAGAACATTTGACCAAGAGACAGCCTCCTGAGACATTGGCAACACAGGCTGGCTGCAGGGATTTGACCAGGAAGCAGAAAAACCCATCATCTGGCCTTACTATGAACAGAGTTCCTGGGTCAGGGGAGAGATGTGATGTTGATGCAGGTGGTGAGGTTGGGGAATGTGGAAGCTAATGCTTCAAACATTCGAGCAGGTCAGGATAGAAGAAACATGACAGAAAAGAATAAATAAAAAATGACTAAAGTGTGCTGCTGTCAGCCACCTAACAGATAAAAGCAGCAGTCCTGCTCCATGTCCACTCCTGATGGACACCTACACTTACCCCTTGACAGTACTGCTAAAGGAAAGTTTCCTCTGCAAGGAAGATTCAGTGCTGGGCCAACCAATTTAGCAAAACTGGAGAAATTTATTCATAAATCAACAAAAATATCTTAGTATATGTAGCACCAATAATACATGAGTTTACAGACTCAAGCATTTCATTCTAGACTATTAAATTGTTGAAGTTTCAAACAGAGACATTTGAAATGTGCTGCAGAAATACAGGAGGACAAATATGTGTATTGATGATGTAGTGTTCTGCAGAACACACAAGGATGGTTAATCAGCACCAGCTGCAGTCTAATCTGGACCAGAAGAAACTGCTGGATAAATAGAAATAACAGCTCAGTGTGAAACCAAGGAATGAAATCCTGATGGCCTCCTTAGGTCATCTAAATCAACACAATAAAGAAGGAATTAGTCTTCTATCTTCCTACTATTAAAGCATACAAAACCATATAAAAGCATGAAGACAATTGGAAATACGAAATAACAATAGGCTATTTCTATTAAATTCTGGATTTACTGGATTAATTTTCATGTTATGACAGTGGCAATATTTACTGAAGACACAGAAATTCTGCAATGGCGAAAGCAAGAAGTGCAGCAAGCCATGGCAGCAACACTTGCAGATATTCCAATCTGGTCACTTGCAATTATGCTAACATATATGTGACAACATCCATGACGTTATTTGTTTCAGAAGAGGTGTTTGGTGGAAGAACACTTTCTCTGAGTTTCAAGTTGTACAAGAGAACTTGACTGTCTAAAGCAGCCCTTACCTTCTGGACGGTACTGAGCTACAATAGTCACTGCTTGGCCTGCGTTCTTCAGGGCTGCTGCTGCCTGCTCATGGGTTGCTGCTTTTAGATCTACTCCATTTACCTACAAGTAATACAAAAAAGCTCTTTATTAAAATTAATTCTTGTGTTTATCACCACAGAACACACACCTGTGGAAAAAAATTAACTGGATACAACCTAATTTTCATGTCGTGTATTTCCCCTGTTCACATTGCTTCTGAAATCAAAAATCAATAAAATCCTCTCTCACATATACTCCTCTTAAGAATTACTGAGACTACCACAATATATCACTCAGTGAATGGTCAACTTTCTTCTTGTTTAAGAGCGTTTTTTTTCTTTTTAAGGAGAAACAGAGAATGTTACTTTTTTGTGATGGTTCAGGAACCTTCTTAGACAAATAATGCCTACAGACCATGCTGTCACCACACCCAGTGACAGGCAACACCCTCTGTGAATCTGGCATTGTTTTCAATGCAGAAGATTTAAAAATAGCATCACCAAAAAAACTGAAGCAGAAATGTGTGTTCTACATTTTAGACCAAGAGTAGTTTTCACAGTTCAAACTAAACTAAAGATGTGCTTTAATATCAGTTTTAGTAACAGCTGTTAAAAGGACATAACTCCCAAAATACAATGTAATTATCCAAATAAATTATTCTCCATAAATTAAGTAATTTCACAAAGAAACATCAAAAATATTTATAACCTTCAATAGTAATATAGAAAAAACCCTTAGAGAGGTATGAGATGGAACATTTTAAGACTGATAGGAGGTTCAGCAGCTACTCCAGGAAGTAAAGAGCCAGTTTTAGACTCTGCAGCCAAGTGTCTCCATCTCATTAGAAGGGTTATTTCTGAAACCTGTATTCTTTCAACTGAGACACACACAGCCCTCAGCTACGAGACTAAGATAAGTTAATGTCTTCACTGAACATCTCAGAGAGGGAAGTGCTATTTTAATCAGGTTATAGATGAGAAACTGAGGCAGACTGAAGTCCTCAAAGGTAGTTTGGAATTATATTGGCATCTGTTCCATTATCTCAAATTTACCCAGTTAATAACATTTTTTGTTTATCATTAATTGGTATTAATATGCAGGGAGGGGGAAACTTTTGTTGTTGTTTAAATAAAAGAAACAAAGAATCCTACAGAAATTATACGATCTCCTTTCCTAAGCTCTCCACTCAGGTCAGCTGGCCCTCCTGCAAGGATGAAAGAGATGAAAATTCCTTCTCCATCTTCTCCTCCAACAATGTTGAAACCAAGACCTGTTGATCCTCGATGTAGGACAACCTTTCTAGGCTCCCTGCAGGAAAAGAAAGGAATATGAAATCTTGGTCACTAGATAGGAGTAAAAGTAAAATAAACAGTTAGAAAAGCTTCTAGATGCAAAACAAAATCCCCTCCCTCTTGTTAGGCAAACTGAACAAATCTTTAAGTATTTATAAATAAATAATAAATAAATTCCTATTATGCTACAATCCTATTCAGCACTAAATGTCATTACTTAATATTTTCCATATTGTTCAAGAACATCAGTGTAGGTTGTGACGTTCTCAGACACATTTTCAATTTTAGCAAAGTGACTGCAATTGAAGAAGGTAAACTAAACCAAGTTGTTGCACTCTTTTTCATAGGATCCCCTCCTAACTTGAATGAGGGGGAGGAAAGAAAAAATATTGATAAAGCCAGTCAAATTCTAATGCAGAAAGACTCCATCCAAAAATCTATTATCTGTCACTTGATTTAATACAAACAAACCATAAAAATGATCTCAGAAAAAGACATTTCTAATAAAGCAGAGAAACTGTGCACTGCATTTCAAAATCACTAGAGAGCACTAAAGAACAATTAATGGACATTAAGTATTTGGAGGTATTAATTATTAATCCACAGGATAAAGTAAAAAGCTGCTTTTTTTTCCAAAACAAAAAGTATCATCTAGTCCAATCTTTAAAAATCACTCAATTTTTACACTAGCTATTAAATCATCTTAAGGTAAAATTCTTAAATTTCACCTCCATCAACTATTATATTCATTTTTTCAGAGTACTATTCTATTACAAACAAATGGCATTGTGAAAACCTCTACACATATTGCTCTGGATCACACCAATACATTAACAAAAACAGAAGAGAGAACAGAAAGATGCAATATCTTTTAAAATAACTCTCAAAATTTATAAACCCCTTTTTGGGATGAAAAGAGTGTAATATGAGAAGGTAATTTAAAGAAAATCCAAACATTTTCTGAATAGGCCTTGCATTCTAGAAGAAATCTAAAAACAGCCTTTTACGTAATTTTAAAGGAAAGCAATAAAACCATAATGATATCAACAGGACAATCATTTTGGCTTACATGTCTACTTAACCCTAAGTTAAAAATCAGTACAAAGACATATCCTACCTTCCACTACACTAAAATCAATTCTCCAGTTTATTATGCCACTTAGGTTTCAATCCTGGGTGGACCCTGCCTCGGAATCTGAGTGACATTAGCCATATCAGATGATGGTGTGACACAGAATTCAGCAACAGCATACTGAAAATGCAGTGTAACATCCCTATACTTGCAGAACAGAAGGGCAACAAAATTACAAGAGCTTCCCTTTATCATCAATGATGAACAAAAGATTAATGCAATCTACTGAATCAGCAAAGGAATGAAAGGTCTGTTAATGGGAAAGGATTAAGAGCTCTCCAGCCTTTCTGGATTTAGAATCCATCAAAACAAACCCTTGTCTGTGGGGGCAGGGTGGACCCAAACACTGCTTGCTTTAAAATAAGAAAATCTCTGGTCTGCTTATGCTACCATCTTAAAAATCTCTGTCAATGCATGCAGCATTTCCAGGACTTTCTGCTTTTAACACTATTCTTGGACTGATAAAGTGTGTGTGCATATATATACATATAAATATACAGAGTTTTATCCTTACAACGATGTTTACAAGATTTAAAAAACTAACATCTGTTTCTTGAAATACAATATAGCATTCCCTAGTATTTTGCCCACTAACACGTTCTGGAGCTTCCCTGGTTAATCAATCTGACACTTAGCTTTGGCTGTCCATTACCTGGTGATCTCATCATCTCCAAGCATTCCCTTGGGAACGGGTGAATATCGCCCTGGTGATGCTGGGGGCAGGGACTGTCCCAGGTAGGCAGATGGACTGATATGGTTATCTACTGGCTGAGAATAAGCTTCACAGAGGGGGAAGGAAAACAATAAAAGACATTAGGATAATAGCACAAAAGGAGCTGGAGGAAATTAAACAAAGACGCAACCTCTTTTAAAAACAAATTATACCAGTTGAAATTATATATTATAAACATCATAGTTCTAAAATAGCGTGTTAAATCTGTACATTCCCTGAGCTCCTCACTAAGTCAGTAAGCAAATTTTTCAGTTTCATTGTGTCTCAAATAAAACTCTTTTAGAAACAGCTACTGTTGATAGTTGAAGCCCATGGGAACAGTCTGGAGATTTATCTGTTTTAAAGCTGTTTTTTACTTGACTGAAGCAAAGTTTTAACTGAACCACAACACATATACCAGAAGAAATTCAGCATCTTAATGATTACAATTGATGGAAAATCTTCTACAATACCAAGAGAATTGTTCCAATAAATAATTAAGAAGGTGCATGATATTTCCAAGTTAGGCACATCACTTCTAAGTGCTCATTAAGGCACAGGCACACCCACTGTTTGCTATTATAAAGCATGTTCTACAATTGAAATGTTTTTTTTCCTGGCATACGTGCTTCAAACTTTGAGGCTCAAACATGAAGGGTGAGGTGAGGACTCTTCACAGATTCAGTATTATTAGAGCTGCCAGACTCTTTGCCCCTACTTGCTGTATCTGATGGGGCAGCTGACCTTTGAGGATTTATACTAAACCCAAAGCTCTTTAATGGAACATACATGACACAGATTGATGAAGCAATCTGCACATTCTCCTTTTGTTTTTTCCTTTTTAAGCCATTCTCAAAAAGTTTGGATCATATACAAACTTATCAAGAGTATTCTTTACATATATATATATATACACACATGATGATTTGCTATTTCTATACATATACACACACATATATATATATTCCAAACCACCCAATCTGGGATGGATAGTGCCTGTATTGTTCTAGATTCCTAGTAAACCTGTATGCAGTAAATTCTTCACATGGCATCATATGCATCAGGACAACACTGTCAACATATCAGCAAGCATTAAAATCTGCTATTAACAGCTTCAGCAGTTCAAAAGCACACATATTTTGCTTAAAATCACACAAATACAGTTATTTTGGTTTTTCTCAGAAAATTTTGAAGCTAAAGCACAAAAAATTAAATGCAAGACATTATGAGCTCTTTTCCAGCTACAGGGAAATGGGTGTTGATTAAAAAACCTGAACAACTGTTGCACAGCATAGCAGCTCTGTACATTCTGTTCCTGCACAAAATTATCTCATTCCACAAAATGAATTTGAAATTGCTTCTACCAAGCCAACGGCAGCCATGATGATGCATATTTTACAGGAAAAGATTAGATACAAATTCTATAGTCATTGACTTACAGTACTTCTCATTTGATTGTTTTTCAGGTTCTTGCAGCTTTTAACTGCACTGTGTTCAGAAACATACGCACCACCAATAGGTCAACACATGACCTTATTTTTTAAATTTTTTATGCTTTCACCCTATGACTAGAAGTCAGCTGTCGATCAATATAACAGTTTATTATTTCAGACCTGTGGACAGTTCCACAACAGCACTGGCCACATCCTTTCTAAAGTTTTACACATGCTACTTGCTTGGAACAGTTTGGTCCTTTCTCAAGGCTGCTGCTCTCAGTGCTATGAAAGCAAACCTATACAAGGCACAAAGAGGCTGCTCTCTGTAGAGCTCCTGCACTAAACCATGGCTGCACCTTCCCTGAAACTGCTTCAGATGGAAATTAGAGCTGAAGCATATTCATGAGGAACGTGACAGAAATAAAAGGCAAGCCATCATTTTTTGCATTCTAAATGAGGTCTAAACTTCTATTTCCAGGTAAATATTATTACTGATGGAACTGATAAAGGAACTGTCTTTTGGATGAACAGAAAACTGCATGCGTAAAATCAACTTGCTTTGACAGGAAAAGTCAGACTCTCAAGAAGAAATTCCATTTCCAAATCCACCCTCTCCTTTCCATAAGAGAGTTCTAGACAAAAAGAAAAAAATGGAAGATTTCCTATTATTTTCCTATTGTCTGTAAACTGAGGACATCAACCACAAGTATAATCTCTAAAATGGGCAATAAAATTAAAACTTTATTGTCTTTTACTATTATTACATATTCTTCTCTTCCTGTACTTAGGCCATTTAAGAAATGATAAGGCATTCATGTCTAGTGAAGAAACTGATTATTCCCTCCCTTTTTATATTTTATTTCTCAATGCAGGGTGGAAATACTGTACCAACATACAAAAGCACAAAAACACTTTGGAATTAATTAGGAGTCAAAAATCCATCACTGATAATGTCTTCAAAGGAGGCCTGTATTGGAAGCAGCCCTCTCTCTCAAAAACCATTTAGTCACTTTTCTGACTCTGACATTCTACTTCATGCACTTCACAGGTAATGTTGGTGTTTTAAACAGCAAGTACTACACCTTCTTAGTAATATTTCATCTGAATAACTTTAGAAGAATTTATATGAACAAAGTACTGGATATTTGCTCCAGGAAACGTTTAATGACCACGATTTATGTATAGATGAAGGAGACAGTTCACATTCCTACTGATCTCCAGCAGGCTAAAGGTGTGATTCTCACACACAGCAGCTGAGCCCCAATGCTCTGGCCACAGGACCACCCCAGCACAGAGCTGCTGTTCCTCTGCACACAATAAACATGGGAGAGGGACTTCTGTTACATTTCCATCTTTTCTATACTGGAAGTTCTCATTCCTCAGCGTGACAGAGAGTGGAGAACAGCACTCAGAGGGCAATGTGCACAGAAAGAACAGTCTTTCCTAATTGCATTCTTCTTGAGCCAGAAAATGCAGAGCACTGTAGAGTAACTGTTTAGCCAGGCAATCCACACCTCAAGAGCTAAAAGATAAATCTCACAGAAGCAACAGAAACAGGCATAGCAATCAACTATTCCAGGTCTATGGCCAAGCTTTCATCAGCCAGACACATCCCATTCTCTAGAGCAACAGCAATGAACTATAAGCTTTTTTTTTTCCATATTCATTCCCTGCTGAATCTCTGGTCTCAAGCAGCCCCAACTCTTCTCTAACAAGATTTTAAACAGTAACTTCCCCCACAGGCAGCTGGAAGCCATTCACTCACTCTGATAAATATCAAATGACACAAGTCAATTTTCAGCCCCAGGTGCACAATGTTGCCACAACATCTATACTCTTCCCAATAAATACTGCCATAAATCAGAATCTCAGAAACGTCCTTTTCAAACGTCCCTTGATTCTAAGGCATTAACCCCAAGGAAATATCAAATTATTTAATTATACATATGGATACTAACTTATTTGGTCCTTTCATTTGAGCCATCAGACCACCTGACAAGGCCACACTACTGTGTAGCTGATATTCCTACTACAGGAGTGCTAAAAGAAATTAGATTTTGCACAAAACCTAGAACCTGAAATTTGTTCTTGAACAGTTCTTTAATATCCTTAGCTCTGCATTTTAAATCCTCATCACCAGAGCAAGTGAGGCAGCCCTGTAACTAAACAAGACAAGTTCCAGAGGGAAAATCATAAAGACAAGCCAAATTCTGAATGTGGACTTTTGAATTAACTACCAAGTCCACAGAAGTTAGCACAGTGAGCAATCTATGGCATGTTCTGCACAGTACCAAAGCACTGTGCACTATGCTTTTAGATATTTCTGATAAAATGGGCATTTAAAAAAAAAAAAAAAAACCAAACAAAAAACGCAAAAAAACAAAAAAAACAAAAAAAAAAAAAAAACAAAACAGAAATAAAATAAGCAAACAAAAAACCCTCCCAAGGGTTCTGTAAGTGAGCAGTTCACATCTAATAAAGTTTCTACCTTAACATCACCTGCAGTAGACATGTTCGCAGGGAGCCTCTGTGCACATCTTACTTCTCCTTTGTGGTAGGACTGAACTCCTAAGAATCTGGCTTAAAGGATTCTCATGGACAGAAATAGGAAGGAGGAATGCACATATATGTCTCAAAACAGCTGCAGATGAGTAGGTGAAGGAAGAAGCCTGGTAACTGTTTCAACACTGACTCACACTCCAGGTGATCCTAGAAAATACCTCTTTAATATCTGCCATCTGGTAAAAGCACTTCAGAATCCCCAGTCTAAAGCTCTTGAGCCCTGTACTGCTCTGATAATGCAATATAAAATATTACATACAGGTGCCACCATTTTTTGGTAGGAGCTCTATCTAACTGAGCAGCTTCTTGCAGAAAGCAGAGGCTTTCTGGTTGCAAAAGTAGAATCAGCTTTTGAGGAGATTGATGTCTCCCTTTGAGATTTCCACTGAGAGGTACTGTGGAAAAGCTTTTGTTCTGCCCTGTATTAGAAAAATAGCATTAGAAAAATAGTAGCTCAGAAACACACAGTTGTTTTTCATGAGTGAAAGACTGAGGAAAAGACTAAACTGATTTCCTGGAATTAAGTCATTAAACACCTCAGCAAGACCTTTAGGTCTGCTTTGAGTTCAAAATTCCAGCAGTAGGTTCAGTCTCCTCGCCAGCTGCAATAACAGCCAGCTGCACTTTGATCAACAGAGACACAAGCTCATGGAGCCTTGGGTAGAAAAGGCTTTGCTGTGGTAAGGAAAAGAAACAGACTGAAGTTTCATCAAAGAACCCAGCACTTTGCAGAGGAATGTTCTTTGGTCTACCAGAAGCAGTGAAAAACAGTATCTTCAGATAGAGAACTCAAGGGAACTGTAGCTAAATGAAATAAAACTTAGAAAATCTACTCAAAAGTACAGACAGCCCACAAATCTTGTCAAGGGTTATTAAAAGACAAAGAGAGTCAAGATGCCTGGAATCTGAGAAAAACTTCCATGACTTTTTTTTCAGAATACTCGAGTTGGAGGAGAAAGGTTCCCAGAAGCAGCTGCTGGAGCTTGAGGTACATGACAAGGTCAGGAGACTGGCTTTTCTCAGAAAGAGGACAGAAATACACTTCCCACAAAGGATGGGATACTGGGCCGCACAGAATGCCACCATCTCTCAAATCAACCTTAGAGGGAGGGCAAACAGAGAGAAACTCTGGAGGGAGGATGGCAATGGGACAAAAGGAGCCTACATGTGTGACCAGGCCATGGATGTGACACCAAGTCACACTTTCTGAGAAATTAAGGACTCATGGCAAGATGGCAGAGGACATCTGCATGGCAGTTATGTGGGATTACCTTTGACAGAACCTCTCTGATCTGTGCAGCCACTGGACATAGTTAGAAGGTACTCTTGAAGATGACACTCTCTCATGGCTCCGAGTTATAATGCAATTGCCTTCAATGAACTGAGCCTCCAGCTCATCCACCACTTGAAAGAAATGAATACCTCTGCATGACAAGAGGTCCAACAACCAACCTTTGCCACTGTCATTGATTTATTAGCACTGGGCAAATTACTAGGAATCACCTAATTCTCTGCCTTCCTCCCCTGAAACTTTCTACAGGTTTTGTCTTTGACCCCAAAAAGATTAACAAAGTAAATATTCCAATGACTAAGTCAAGGTGCAGCAGTAAGAGATGATATACTTCAATGTTTGTCACATCCCAATCCACAGCAGCGTAACTGCATTACTGCAACATTACCAGGAACATTAGGTAAAAATCAGACTTCTCTTTTCCAAAATATATGAATTCCAGGTGAAATATATGAAAAGACCAGTCATATGGAGAGAGAACAAGAAGTCTACTTTCCAAGGAAACAGTGGGAAAGGTTACTGAACAAACCAGATACAGTAAGAAAAAAGGCTGCTCTCTAACCATAATATATATGAGTAGAAAACTGGGGAAGAATCAGTGGAGGCTGAAAATTAGATATGTCAAAGAATGGAGCCTTCGAGAGCATCCTTCTAATAACACAGTGGAGATAAAACCTAATTTGCTCCAAATTGTAATTCAATAAGCTTACAAATAGATTTTAAGATACTGTAGCTATTGCCAATAAATGATGGGCTTATAAGGTACTTCAGACTTTGTTGTGCTGCTCTTGAGTTTGTTGTTCTTTACATACTGTTGTCAATTACATCCGTCAATCCCAAAGCGTTCCTTTTTTTTCATATGAAGTAGTACCTAAACAGATCAGTGCTATATATCAATTGCACATATCTAATGGCAGGAAACAAAGCAATACCTAAAATAAGTCTCCCCTAGAACCATTTCATGTCACAACATGAGTAAAATTGGTCATCCAAAAAAGTCAGTGTATTCAGTCTTGGAAATACACAGTTATACCATTATCCTCCCCTTCTCCAGCCACTAAATGGTAATAACCCTCTTAAGTATACTCAACTCAAATATTTCTTTACATTGTAGTTCAACCCTGAACTTACTGGATTGAAAATATTCTTGTCAGTAGTACCCTTATGTCACAACAAGAAATTCTTGTAACTACTTTTTAATACAGCATTCACTGGTTTTCCATTCAAATTGACAACAATTACGTCAAACCTGAAGTCAGATTTCAAATAAGTTAACATGGAATTTTTTAACACATTCACAGACAGGCACCAGAGCAAGAACTTCCCATCCTCCCAGGTCCGTTTATTCAAGTATATACAAGTTCAAACAAAACCAGGAAAACAGGAAAAACATCAGAGCATCACCAACCTCTTTAGTTTACAGGACACTGAATACTCTCACAGTGCATTGCTTTCTACTCTTCACACCCCAAGAGCGTGAGACACTTGTTCTCTCCCCTTTTACTCATCAGCAAGTGATGAGTAACACTGAGTCTCTAGGACTGGGCCATGACAGCCACAGAAACACACCTGGAGCCCTGCTGCTGCTGTCTTTTCAGCATACAAGCTATAGGATATTGTTCTGTATAGTATATAATTTTTCTCATTAATCAACTTATATCAGATTTTTGCCTTATAAGTTTTTAAAGCTTGCAACAGTTAAAATACTAAAAATGAAATAAGTGAATGCCTTAGAGGGAAAATCAATTAAATTAGAAAGATAAAATGAACTTACAGTTTGTGATGTCAGGAGGGGCATAACTGTCATTCATGAACATGCTGGTGGGTTTTGCAACCTTCAGATAAACAAAGTCAGATGTGTTTTTTAAGGCAGTCACTGCTTCTTCATGAGTAACTTCTTCTAAGCAAACACTGTTGACCTGAAGAGAAAAACAAACATTCTTAACCCAGAAACATGTTCTGTTTTCATAGGTCACTCACTGAAGGCTGTTGGAACACTGACACTGGGAGTCTTTATTAGGATTCATGTGCCACAGACATACCTGGTCACATGAAATTATATAAGAGATGCCTTGTTAAGTATGAGAAGGACAAGTATTCCTATCAAAGATTATTACAAACTGTATTGACCACAACATTGTAAAGAAGGCACACACGACTTTGGGGAGCTAATGGGACAAACAGAACACTCAAAATGTAATAAATGTGCACACTACACAGTGTGTTACTGCAAGCACTGCATAGAGAGAAGTTTCCTCTAATAAGAATAAACCCCACATCAACTTGTCCTGACATAATTATGCTCTAGACTTTATAACAGGACAATATATTCTGGCATGATGTCAAAAAGCAGGGGTCAAAACTTGAGAAGGAAACACTAGCACTTCCATTTTAATAAATCCCTTATTGTGAAAGGGAAGAAACTTCTGCAGATAATTCCAGGCAAAGGAAAAAAAGCTTGTACTGCACTGAACCCAAGGGGCTAAAGACACTTTCATCATTTAACTTCATGTGTAAGAACAACCAGGCTTTGCCAATTGTTAATTGTGGGGGGAAAACTCTATTCCCTGCATCTGTATTCTCTAAGTTTCCTACAAATTTTCTAAAAGCCTTTTGTTGATATCTTTTTAATAGATTTTAATTCCTACCACTCTTGAAGACTGAAAAGTCGTTTTGCAGTATTTGGCAATTGCATTACAACTTAAACACAGAGACAGAAAGTTACATTCTGCAATGTATGGCTGGGGCTCTCACTTTTCTATCTGGACAAAAAATTTGTGGATTGAATTTCAGGAAGTTGAAAGTTTTGGTTTTTTTTACTTTGTGCATAGAAAAATTCAACTTTGAAGCTATTTTAAGCTTTAAAAAAAATAACAATGCCATTCAAAAGCATTACAAACACTGAAATGCAATATAAGCAGCAGCTTCATTACAGGCTGGCTAAAGGCTGGCCAGCCACCAGTACAAGGAGTTCCATTTCATTCTTCTATTTTCAGAAGAAAAACAATCCCATTTTATGTTTGTTTACAATTCTGTCACTCAGATCCCAGAAAAATAATAGCAGGCATCAGAAATAAACATGCTGATTTATACAGGTTTTGCATGGAACATTGGACTGAGGAATAGATTTCAGATCTCCTGATGAGATGGTGTTGAATGATGCAGATTTAATTTTATCACTGATTTCCAGGCAGCTTAACCACAAATTGAATCATGCCCCTATTGTGCCTAAAAGTGAATGACCATTAAAAAAATGCAGCTCTTACTTACAGCTAAAAGTTTGTCTCCAATCTGAAGTTTGCCATCTTTATGTGCTGCCCCACCTTCGATGATTTTGGTTACATAAATGCTGTTGTCCCCAGGTATATGCTGATTTCCTACACCACCAGCAATACTGAAACCGAGACCTGCTTGAAGATAAAGGCATTACTCAAGAAACCCTTTTTGCAATCATTGGATTTAAATTCTTACATAAATAATAACACTCCTTATATAACACAAATAGATATAATCAGGGTCTGGCTGAACTAATTCTGATGCCTTTTCAAGTGAACTCCATAATGGTCTAGAAAAGATGTAACAGGTACACAATTCTGGAAACCAAAGCTCGATCATTTACTTCATGCTTTGTGAAGTATGGGCACAGCAGAGCTATAAGCATCACCATACTATAGCACCTATATATTTATAGCCATATTACCCAGTAATTCATTTCTCTAAATTATTTTTAATCTCTCAAACATCCTTACTAGGTAATGCAATTAAGTATTTTACTCCAATTTTAATATACTTAAAAATTACTAGATACAATCAGAAACATTTTTATTAATTTAAAAGAAAACTTGGCATTCTACAAGAACACTCTCAATTCTATCCTTCTTATGAAACAGAAACTTGAGATTTCCAATGTACCTTTGGGGCCTTTGACAAGTTTGATTTCCACTATTTTTTCTGTGACTGGTTTTCTTCTTTTGACATACAATCGTACAATTGATCCCGCTTCTTTCAGTGCTTCCACTGCTTTGCTGTGTGTCACATCCCGAACATCCACCTCATTTACTCGCAGGATACAATCATTGACCCTGGAGACAGCAAGTCATGCTCAGCTGCTGTGTTACACCAGAGTGCACACATCAGGAGCCTAATATTTTATCTGTAATACACTAGCATACATGCTAACACATTAAAATACAGAGATTTAGCTCCAAAATTCTACTTATTCAAGACAATGCTCTAAAATGAATTATTAGTGCTTAAAAATAAACCAAGGATCACTAGAAAACATTTAAGAGGAATATTTAATTCATGACCTTATTATATGTACCTTACTTTGACAGTGTTTTGAATAGATGTTTGTAAAAATTACCTTTTGTTTACAGCTAGAAAACAGAATTTTAAAAATCAAAACCTACAAGGCACATAATGCAAACATACTAGTTTCAAGCCATGATATGAACAAGTCAATCTTGCTTTTCACAAGCAGTTTAAGTGCTGGCCTTCCAGTCCATTTAACATGTTGCTGCAGTAACACTGAGCCCTCATTACACTAAGTGCAATGCCAGGCCCACCTGTCACCGTGTCCTGCCAGATGTACCTCTGACAATGGCCAACAAGCTAAAATGAAGCCTTGAACTAAGCTCATTAGGACTAAAACCTAATACAATACCAATACAGCAGGTATTTGCACATGAAACGATGGGCCAAGTTCTTGGCAACACAAGAGGAAAAAAAAATAGTCCTACAATCAATGTGGATACCTATCTTTGAAAAATTAAGACACTGAATTATTACCAAGCATAAAAAAGGGTTTTTAATAAACTCAACTACCTTGTGGATCAGAAAATGCACAGATGGATAACCAAGAGCTATCCATCCTAGCTAAGCTTTTTCTTGAATTAAGGACTATGAAACATATAGCATAATAAATTTATACCACAGTATAGAAAAATGTCACTTAATTTTCCTAAACTGCAGATATTATTAGTTTGGGAGACACAAATTGATCCAATCAAACATTCTTCATTATTTACAAAACACTTCTGTAAGGAAAACCTATTTAACATTTAATGCAGGAGGATACAACTATTAAACGTAACAGAAAATTTTCTATCCACTTATTAAAATACAATAATAGCACTTAGTAACCCAAGACAGAAATTCATCCTACCGTAATCTTCCATCCTGTGCAGCTGCACCCCCGGCTATAATTTTTGTAATGAAAATACTTGCATCATCCCCAATATGTGGGTTGTCTGTACCACCTGCAATGCTAAAGCCAAGTCCTGAATTTCCCTAAAGATAGAGGAGGAAAAACATTTACACACTTATTTTTTGGGGAAAAGGTATTCTGGTGTATTTGATACACTACAGAACCAAATCTACATAATTTTCACTGAAAACAAAAATACTTAAAGACAATTTAAGCAGTATGCTACATATATAACTTATTTATATGAAAATAAGTATAATTACAACTTACATACATGTCAGGTGAACATAAGTCATTGTATAACTGTAGCTCGTGTCCCACCTCTAATATAGTCCCACAGATGCAGAGATTCAGACTGACATTTTTCTCTTCAAGGATTACTTGCCCTTACCATCAACTGCAAGACCTCTTCACCCTCCCAATAACAACCAGAACTGCACAGGTATTAGGTAAAATAATTTCTTTCTGTCTTTTTCTTAACAGTGCACCTCAAGAGAACTGAGCTAGATCTCAACTTAGAAAACGTAACAAAGAAATGCACGTGACAAGGTGTCACTTGTAATCTCAATATAAAACTTAATAGTATATAAGTAAAAGCCTATGAAAAAAATAGCAATACAGGAGATTAAATCAGAATCTGTGTTGTTAGTATCTACAAGTCTAGGTAGCAACATTAAATGCAGGATGTCTTAGAAGAGATCATTATTTCCCTACTTTACTCTCAGTAGTCAAGGATATTAATAAAACTTTCAATTCCTGCTTAGCAACTGAATGGACTTTTTTTTTATTAGGCTAAATAATCTACCTGAAATAAAAAAAAAGAAAGAGTAAGACTTAGTTTGGATTGCTATTGTTCATATTAAAGTATCATAAATTCCATTTCAAACAGAGTACAGAGGATATTTAGCATGTTACCCTTTCAAGAGTAATTTCTTCATACTCGTAATCTGCATCGGTGCCATTGACCTATAAAAAAAGAGAAGTGAGACTCACAGAGAATCCTACACTTTACACAACCCATTTTGCTTGGCTGGAAGTTCACTCCCATCAAATCTCAGCGGATTCACAGTGACCACTGGGCTCAGAGGGAGCATGTGAATTTCACACCACTCTGTATTTATGAATCAGACAACCTTTTTATATGAGTTTAAAAGTTGCCTGTTCAAGAGCAGACTGTTCTACACAACTGCTGTAGGGCACAGGCCCTCTGCTTCTGACTGCCAGAAAGAAAAAATGCTCTGGAGATCCTCACATGTTCCTCAGGCTATACAGCAACTTGAAACTGAGAAAAAAGAAAGACAATGTGGGATAGAGAAGAATCGTAAGGAAGAACAGAGCAGCATTCTCCTATTGTTGTTCCACAATGAGCAGAGAAAAATCAAAGATTGATGCTTTATACCATCTTCTCCTGAGAAATAGGTAAGACCCTTCTAAAGTAATATTTAACAACTGTTTATACTCCTATATGTCATGTCACATACATACTAAAGTTCAGCAATTTAAAATAGGGACAAAAAGAGAAGAAGACTTTAGAACAATACTTCATAAAGCTTGACGAAAAACTGAAATCCTAGAAAGAAGCCTTGTCATCCTCTGGTTAGAAAGGACACCCACATTCTTTGCTACCTATAGAACAAGGAAAGAATCAAATACCAGAAGAAAAAAAAAATCAAAACTAAACAGAATCAATTACATAACAAATTCTCAATCATATTTAATATTCAAGAGTAAGCTTTTTTCCAAGATACCTTGGAACTCAAATTCTTTCCTCTACAGTTACCTACAGCAGCTACAGACAACTCACTATTTCTAGCCTTTTAGGATGTAATCTTTAACAAGGTAAGAAATAACATTTATACTATTGCTTTACAAAGGTCCTTGTCTACCCCTTAAGATATAGAATATCTGAAAAGACTTCTGAAGTCTTAACACACTAAAGATAAAAAACATATATAGAAGAAAGCAATTTAAGATCTGACTGTTTTCTAGCAGAGACTTTAAAAAGGGAATTTAATTCACCCCAAATAAAATTAAGATCAAGCTACTTCGTTCCTCCTATGTTTATTTAACATATTTAAATGCTCCAAAAGCCGGCAATGCCGTGACTTCCCAGGCTGTCTAATATCAAGCTCTTTTATCCTTCATTCCCTAATTGTATCTCCCCTTACAATAGAAGCCATATCCATTCCATGCATAACAGATTATCATCTTTGCTAAGTACCTCAAAAAATGATTATGTCCTTAGCAGTTTGTTCAGTGGAAAAGATACAGTGGTTTTAACACATGATATTTCTCTATTAAAAAGGGATGAGGTCCTGACCTTCTGAATCCATGAAACTGGATCTATTGCTACACCAACACAAAAGAAGCCACTGTGATCAAGAAGTTTTGATGGTAGCTTAGTCCTTGAGCTATTATCTACAGGAATGACATGTGCTAACTGAAGCAGTCATCCAGCATTACAGTACCTGCAAAAGGTTCATGATGATTGATCAGTGTGCAGTGCTCTTTTCTTTTCTTTTTTATTAAAAACAAGGATGATTAATCATTTCCTTATTCATTGCCATTACACAAAACAAAGCCGATTCTAATATATTTAAGCAGTCTCTTATTTCTATGTACAAAGGTCTTTAATCCATTTAAAATATCATCTAGATAAACAGGAGCAAACAAAAAGCTCCATCATTTTATCTTCTCCTTGAGATTAGTTCTATACTCTCTTTTTTTGAAAAAACTACCTTTCAATTTATTCATCTAACAAACCAAACATTAGCAGAGACAGGAGCAAGAATATATCACATGATAAAAGTCACTGACCTAGTCTATCTTTTCCAAGTTTTAAAGGGATCTCACACCTACTAAGCTAAGCTTTATTTCCAGGGCCTTTCCCTAGATGAAAGACTTTATATGTAAATGTTGTAATTATGCCTGACAAATTAACAGCTCAGCCTCTGCATAACTACACTTATTACCTTAATGTTTCAAACAGAACCAACCCATTTTTATGAACATTTATAGAACGAAAACCTTAAGTATAGCCACTGCATGAAGAAATGTTTTTATGAGACGTGCAACAGAAATGGCACATTAAATATTAAAGTATCTGCCTGCACAGTTGAAGAAGCAGATTGTTCTCTGAGCACTGAACCTCTGGAAGCTCAATTGTGTTATGCACTGTCATACACTGGTACCCAGAAAAATTCCCACCTGCAATCTGCACCATTTTTTTTTCATCAAACAGCTATTTAAGGAGCTTAAATAACCATCATGAGAGTTGACAAAATCAAGCACCATCAGAGAGATAAAACAGGTCTTCTCAAACAGCAACAACAGGTGTACCCAGCTATATTCATAAAACATGATTTAACGTTATGATTGAAATTAAGTGTGGACTTACATATGTTGAAGTCTCCAAAGAATCTGTATTCACCAGCACTGGAGGGGGATTTGCCTTTAACAATGAAACAAAACAAAAAATAATTACACAGCATGAGAAAATGCACTATTGATGATAATTTTACAGCATTTAACTTGCTGGCTTTCTCAAAGTTCTGTTAAAAGGTAGCCTGACCTTGAGAATCTCAAAACTGACTTTCTAAAACACTTGTTACTATCCTGGACATATTGCTTCTCTGACATAAAACCACACCGTTAGGGAAGTCTGAGATCATATTTAATATCTAAGTTCTGGCATTTATTACCTTGTTTTTCAAAAGAAAACCTGAGTCATGCTACCATTTGACATGATGCCAGCTGCCCCAGTACTTGTGGTATGATATGCAGAGGTTGTTTTACCACTCAGTATCTCAAAACCAATTTTCAGTAAATTCAATTTTGCTTTCTTCTCATCAGGAACAGTGAACCACCCCCTTCAAAAACTGCAAAATGGAAACCTGCAGAAATGCAACTTAAGCAAGAAAGGATCTACAAAACTGACTCGCAAAAGCAAACCCACAGCAGGCATTCATTTACCCCACAGCAGCATGGGCTTTCATCAGAAAATTGTTAAGGATTAACAAGCACAAGCAGTCAGAGATTATTGCCACAGAAAGCTGAAATAATATTAGCATTTTTACAAGCCAGGAACCAGCAGAGTAAGTTTACACTTTTAGTCTCATACCACTGAGATTTTTTCTGTGAAAAATTTGGTTTCAACTAAAAGAAAATCCATAGGAACTGATGGCATTTCTCTGAAATGTTTCCAAATAAACAGACTTCCCATTTATCCATCAGTTGATCTGCCTTTAAAATAGGCAGCATCTCGCCTGCTCTAGGAACATAAGCCAAACAAAAAAACAGTGTCCAGATATATTCCAGACTCCAAATACTGCTAACTATTAAGTTCAGTGGCACTAAACAAAGTTAATCTCCTTATTGCTTTAATGAATCTGAGCGGGTTTTTAATATGTATGAAAATACATTATCTTTAAAATTAAGACATTCTTTTTTTTAATCTCCTAAGTATGTGTGTGTGTGTGGAAATAAATTTAGGGATAGTTTAATAGGCTGCAAAAGAAGGCAGTATTAAACTCAAGCAAAGATAAAGTTAAGACCTGCAAAAACATGACAATTGCATTAACCTATTAATATTCTGCATTTTTGTTTCATTACAATGACAGCAACATACTTCTGAAGGATTTATGATTTTTAAAAGCTCCCAAATCTAGGAAGTGATGACTCAGAAGTGCCTTTCAAAAGGCTGAGATGAATAATATCCCATCATTAGACAGGAGCCATCAATCTGCTATCAAGTGTCAGAAATTAAGCCTGTGTGATTTAATAAGAACTAAAATCAGGTGGGACCTACACAAGTTAACAGAGCAGACAATTAAAAGTAAGAGGAAACAAAAAGGATGACACATATGGCTGTCAATATGCAATCAAAAGCCTTTCTCACCCAGCAATTCTCCCAATAGAAGCATTGGCACATTTCATGCAGTAAAGACATTAAGCACTAGTTATTAATGTCACAATAAAAATCTCTGTCACAACAACACTATCCTTCACAACCATTTTGTGCCACTAAGTTAAATTTCCTTTTCTGCTTATGAGTGCATGTTCTATTAAAGCAAGAGTAAATTAAAATCAAGATCCTGTACTAAAAACCCCAACCTATTATTCATCACAATAATTCATTGTTAAGGTTACAATAAATACAGTTAAACCATATGTTTTTATGGTTTCGCTCAGAAGAAAACAAGGTTTAATTGCTCAGTCATGTTCTTTTCACTCCATTTTGGTATGTATTTTTATTTACTATTAGGATTCTGTAACATCCAATTATATTCAACATACACAGTGCCAGCGAGAGCTGGTTCCCCATGATTTTTATTTTTGAGGCAGACAAGTGTTCTTATTTTCATGTTCAAAAAAAAGACAACTTAAAGCAAAATTGCTGTTAGTAGGTGAGCTTTGGTGAACAGTATGTTTAAGATACAAATCAGCCAACCAATGTAAAACCCCTTCTGTAAGTCGAATGATTGCTCCTAACACTCCCATATTTATCCAAATTCTCCATCAAGCAGCAGCAATTTATCATCTTTTTCAATGATGAATGAAAAAAGCTGTGCCAGGTTTTCCAAAGGTACTATCTGGACATGGTTGCACTGGCCTGTCCACTTCAAATCTTGATGTGGGCTAAATCCCTCTACTAGAAGGGAGTATTTCTAAAACTAATTACATTTCTGGTGGAAGAAGTGCAGGTGAGAGAGTCAAATAAACATACATCTACTGGAAGCTGCAGTATAGAACAGGCAACTGCAAAAAGCTTTGCTAATTATGAATTATGCAAAAAATAAAAATTCAGCAAACACAAAGATTACCACCTGTAGCAAGTTTAGTCAAGCAGCCTGAAAGTAAAAATTAAGAAAAAAAATACTGATGTCCATACTACAAAAATGTTCAAGTAATATTCTGGATAGCTTAACTTCCTTTTAAAGTTAATAAATATCTGTCACTAAATGATTCAAAAAATTGACCCATCTTTTCAGAAGGTGTGCACTCATAATTTCAGATTTCTGCACTGAAAGTTACAGTAAAGTTACAAAAACTAAGAGCAGAATGACAATCTATTTGCAAAAATGTAACTGCAGGCTATCCTGGACTGTTCCATTGCTTGCCATGCTGTGGTCACATATTCCAAATTACATGGGAAATACTAACATTAAATCATGTTACTGCCTTCACTCCTCTTGATAGGGTTTGGTTTTTGTTTTGGGGGGTGTGTGGATATTATGGGACCTAAAGGATGAAGGCTCAGAAGGGAAGCATTTTATGAGTCAAATATGTTAGGAATGGAGAGGTAAAAAGATCTCTCTTATATTCTAAATGTCTCCCAAAACAGTAATACCAATAAATGGGTGGAGAACATGAGAAACACTATGCAACTGCAACCAAAGAAAGACATGTATGAAATATTTATAGGAGATGAGAAAACATTTTCTTTATAAATAAATCAAGCAATAACACTTTAGTAGGGGTGAAATGGCTCTAAAGTTAGGTGAACACAAAATATCCTAGTGGTTCTTTCCATTCTTTACGTTATTTTTTCTCTAGTTTTTTCACAACTTACTAGTCACTTCTACATGAAAATATAAATATTTTAGTGTACTAAAAGCTGTCATAAAATGAACAAAAGTTAGGGTGAAATTCTAGTTAATTAACAGCTCACCTCAAAACTGAGTACAGAGTAGCAAAAGGTGTATTTCAACAAAGCAACAAAACAAATTAAAGAAATAAAAGTTAAAGAAGTTTAATAAAACAAAACAAAACAGAATAAAAACCTGTGGTATGGTGGATGGGATGGTCTCAGCAGGGACTGGTGGGACAGGGATCACAGGGACAATGGGAGAAGAGGAAGGAACAGCTTCTGTGGGCTAAAAATCACCAACACAACGTCAAAAATAAGGAAAACTAGAAAAACAGTTTCAAACAAACAAGACTCAAATGTAACATCATAAACAGCTATGAACTAGCACATGGCTTTGGAGCCTAACTACAGTGCAGACAGTCCCTTGGAGCCACACTGCTCATGGCAGCACACTCCCAGCACTGCACTGATGGTGAGGAACCCAAAGCAGCTGGACATGCCCAGGGGGGTTATCTCGTACACCAAGGCACTGCCCCTGCAGCACTGGGACCTTGGGGTCCAACAGAAAACCTGCTCAGGTCCATGAACAGATTCAGGCCTTTTGTGGACTGGTTTCACAACAGAACCCCTTCACCAATATAAAACAGAGTGCAAAAGCAGGGAAATGGGCTGAAGTTAATAGCACTCAACAAAGCTAATATTCCTCTTTGATAAAGAGGAAAAATCAGAAGTACTTTATGGTTTCTAAACTTAGCAAAAATCAAAGAAAACCTTTTAGCCATGGGTGGAAGGTGCTACAACAGCTTCAATTTATCTCTTACAGATCTTCACACAAGTTTACCAAACATCTATAGACTAGGACAAGTTTGGTCTTAGGAATCTTCATTAAAATAATAACCAGGGAACTTACTGACACTTAAGCTGCAGGGGAATAAGATTCCAAACAGCGTTTTGAGCAAAACATTGACTCAAATATCTTTGAAATGTTCACATACTGGTTGTCAACAAGCTGTCAGCAACACAAACTGCTGGCAACTATCATCAACTGAACAGCAGATCAAAGCTCTTGCAATTTAGATGTTCCAAGATATTCTTGTGATCTTTAAAAATAATGAAGCATAATGACAAAAGAAAATACTAAATCCAAAAGTGAACAAACCCCCCAGAACATAAGAGTATTAAACATTTTAAAAGTTTGAGATATCTTAAAACACAAAGCAGCATACATCAACAGCAGCCACCAAGTTAAGGAGTAATAGCAAATAATGCTGTTTGAATTAAGAGTCCAAGAACAGCAACACATATTAAATGTACACATGGTATTTCTACAGGGTTTTTTCAGCTCAAAGTCAATCCTCCCAAAATGAAAGCTGGTGAAAAACATTGCAATTACCGAAAGATGCAAGAACAAAATATGTTTGGTACCTTGAGAGTTAATCCGAATGTCATTAAAGCATTCTTACATCTACAGACTAAAACACAATATTTCAAGTGCTTAAAAAGAGAAAGGTAGGGGAGAATCTAAACTGGTCTGGAAAAATATTAATTGCAGAGGATGCAAAAATGAAATGCTCAGTGCAATAAACCTGTGGCTCCTGAAAGAACAACACAGGCTTTAGATGACAGATCAAAGTAAACAGCTCAGCCACCCATTTGGCCCTACCCATGCAAAATATGAGACACCCCTTTAAGTCTGCCTTGTTCCAAAGTAAGTGGCTTTTTGTGTTTAACCTATACACTCTAAATCCTTCAGTGAGGAAATACCAACTAATATGTAGGTAAATCAGAGCACCACACACATCCTTAAGCCAGAAAATTCTGTAAAATTCAGCAAATTCTGTTCTTAGTAAACGACAAACAGATACACTTTGGAGAGCAAAAATCAAGCAAACTAAACTTTCCCCACTTTCAAGAAATTCCTGTAAACCCCCATATTGTATAAAGTGCAGCAACCTTCATTGGAAAACATGAGAGCAAGTATTCCTTTGCCAATCTGATTTCAATAATTGCTACTTTGATTTCTAGCAATAAAATACAAAAGAAGATTGAGTAAGAAAGTCAATAGAAACAGCTGGGATAAAACTACAGAAAGGAAAAAAAAGCAACGTACTTCCTACAGTTTGCAGAAAAACGCACATCTCCGAACACGCAGTGCAACACCTACCTTCCCTAAAGAGCAATTCGAGCACGAGCCATCAGACACCCAACCACTAGCAGCTTTTACTTTTGCTGTGCTTTTTGTAGGGCTCTTTTTTACACTGTCCCGTAGGTTTACAAATTTCCCTCTGTGTTTGGCAGCCGCTGGCAGCGTGCAGGAGCTGAAAGGCGCCCGAGCGGCCGGAGCGCGCTGCGGGTGCCGCAGCAGCTGAGCAGCTTCGTGTGTTTCCATTCTCGGGCTCCTCAGCACATCAGAGCGCTTGAGCGTTCCCGTCTCACCACCATGAGTACTCATCAAAGTCGCAACACTAAGAGTCCTTTTTGAAAAAAAAAACCAAAAAAACCACCCCAAATGGGAAAAAAAACAACCCACCAAACACCCAGCCAAACTGTGGAGGGAAAATAAATGAAAATATTTCTTCCTGAGCAAGTTAAAAATATGTTTCCCAGATTATGGTCGTAGGAAGAAACCCTACATGCTCTGCATTAGCTAGGTCTGCATGTTGTGTGCTCTCTCACTCTATTTAAAGAGCACCATTGAACCAACACACAACAGTCAATTTGCTGGGCACAAATAATCAATGCAATGCACAAATTATTGAATAGAGGGCAAAAGTCATCTGACCATTATAAAGAAGCTCCAAAGGTTATTTCTCCCAAAACCTCCTACAATCCCTTAATTTTTCTCCATTTTATCACCTCAAAACTTCTCCAAGGCTTACATCCAGAAATTTTTTAATCCTTCTGCTGTTCTGAATGCTTCTTGGGGCAGAAAATTAATGAATTTACAAGCAGTTTGTGACAGACAGTATATGAATTGTGAATGGGCAGATACATTGCACAAGATTTCAACATTAAAATGTCAAGGAAAATAAAAATCTTTAATACCATAATAATAACAAGAATTACTTTGTGTTAATAATTTTAAGAGTTGTATTTCCTTGAAATGCAGCAGCACCACGAAACCACAACTTTCAGGCACACACTGTGTGCATTTTTTAATTTAAGATATTTAAATGAACATTTAAATGAATACTTAAATGAGTTTTTTATTATTCATTCAATTTTTAATGCTAAGGATGCATGATCTCTATATTACAATTTTATTCCAATATTCAAAACAAAAAAAGCTCCAAAATGAATCCTTTCCCCATTCCCCCCAAAAAGTACAAAAGGAGCAAACAGCTTGATTTTATCACATTGTTGAATATTTAACTTTAGCAGCCTATTTTAAATTCTATAAAAAGAGAAGGATCAAAGGTCATTTCCCAGCATCTATATGAAAACTGACAGCTAAATACACTCATATTCCCAGCCTTACAGAGGAAAGAAGTGGGCTCAAATCAGTGGCCACAGAGTCTTCTCAGCAGGTACACACATCCAGCCTCTGCACAGCATGCACCACCTGCCTCTTGCCCAGTGGGTCTGTTCCAGGAATATGCTGTGGATCTGGATTTCTGGTGCTGGGTATCATGAGAATGAAGGACACCAGCTCATAGGAAACAACTTGATTAGGTCAGCGGTACTGTATTTAGTCAACATGGAGAGGTTTCATCAATTCACAGCATTAAAACATGGTTATTCTCCATCTCACATTATACCTTCCTGCAGCAAATGTGAATATTTAAATTATGAGTCAGCAGAATTTTTACATGCAGAATAAAGGAACAGACATACAGACCTAAGTACAAACATTTCCAGTTATTTATAGCATGAATATTAAGAGATAAATAGGTACTGACAGATGCTCCTCTAATCACCAAGAGCTGCCATGTCTCATCTTCTCTCCAGAAGGGATGTAATCAAGAGCTGCCAAACGTTTCATTAATGCAATATCCATAACGCAGAGACAGAAATGTTTCTGGCCAGTGACACGAAACCAGAAATGTGTTGGCCATACCAACATTCTCAGACTTGTGCAGGCACACAGCAGGGATGTATTTGGCCTGTGAAGCATTCAGGAGCTGGAGGACTGGATTCCCCTAACACATGTGGGCATGTGCACCCAGGCTGTTCTGTTCCAGAGAGCCCAGGAGCCATGGGTTTTGATATTGAAGGGCAAAGATAAGCATGTTGTGAACGTGCAAGGTAAATAGCTCAAAACCAGCACATCATAACTTGTTGTCCTTTGAGAAATATCCACAGATGCATTAATACTGAGCAGATCTGAGGCACACTCTTCAGCCTGCAGGGATTACTGGGGTGGAGCTGAAGGCCCTGTATCAGTATCCTCTTTGGCAACAGCCTGCTAAATGGCAGCTTTTTTAGACCACAACGTTTCTTTTCCAGAGACATTCAAGACTGCATGAGGTTTAGCAGAATGCATTTATACCACCCATCTTACTTCCATATCAGCACCCAGCATGACATTGTCTAATTACTATTAGACAATATAAATGTCTATTACATTAAAATGTAGAAAAGAAGCAGAAGAGGAGCTTGAGGTATAAGGCTTTTGTCTTGCATACATAATAAATCACAAAATACATGATGTTCCAGATTCAAAAGGAACATTTTATTCCTGGAGACATCAACTTTGCTGAAAATACACAGACCAAGTAGTGTGTTGACTAAAACAAAAATAAATTAGCTTTTAAGAGTCTTAAGTAAGAAAATTAAGGGCAAGGGGAAGAGATGCTGAATACCACATTCTTGGAAACTCAGCTGTCTGGTTTCCTATATTCTTCTCCAAGCAGAAAAGGGGAAGACAATGCAAAGGAATTCACATATCTGTAGTGTGCTTTCAGACCTTTTGATTTCAGAGGCAAAAGAAGGAACATTATGCAGCAGAAAACTGCTAAGGGCATGATTTTTTTTCCTTGCAGTCATCATGCCTTTCATTCCTGAGGTGATATCAATAAGGTATCAACAATGAAAAGAAAACAAAAACTTGAAGGCAATTGTAGTTCCAAAAACAACAGTCCAAGCACCAAAACACAGTCAAGGAACAAGGGGTACAGGCAAAATACCTAATCCATGCTGCATAGTGTGCCTTGAGACCCTTCAGTGAAAAAGCTCAGGCTGCACTGAAATTTCAGTGGTATGCCAGTATAGAAAGTGACTACAGCATAATAAAAGCATAGTAATGCTTATATAGAACAACCATGTTCTATACAAAACAAAACGAAA